CTATCAAATGGGATTGACAAACTGAAGTGTCGTGTTGTGATTGATACCCTTTATGATAACTAGCCTTTACTAAGTTTACTTACAAGTATTAATACAATCTGTGGGAAGATGTTTAAAATCTGGCCAAGTGGTGTAGTGATACGATTATGCTATCTAAATCAGCAATTAATCATTCCTTTCGCCAGCGGTGGTGAATTTGAGCGCTGAAGCGCTGAAGGATGATCCAAAGTTCACTGGCCTTTATGGCCGTCTCCCTCGTGGGCACACGCACGCAAGTATGATTGATGAAAACGCTGCACTAGCAGGGTCACTTCAGCTTTGCTATATGACTTTCGAAACGGTCTAGTTAGTTAGTTATGTAAAAATCAGCTTAGCGCGGGCCAGGTTCAGTGACAGCAACTATGAGGCATCAGGACCTCGGGAGCGACAGGTAAAAAATCCCATGGAGGACCGAGAACGCGAAGAAAGATGCCATTGACCGCGTCAGGCTTGAGACAAATGCCCGCAACTACGCAGTTACTCATTAAAAAGAAATAAAAATAATGTTGTATGCGGAGGAATCAGACTACAATGCAACATGAAAGATCGTTTAGTAACAAAGAAGATAGTGGGCCGCCGTTGTTGAAACAATATATGGGAGACCTGACTTGCAGACCGGGAGTACTGTGAAACCCGATGATATCGCCTGACCGTGACGAGGGGAGCGTGGATATACATATAAGGAATCGGAGCACGCTCGAGTCCATGGCTCGTTTGGAGGACAAGTACAGCTGGGAGGTTCCAGTGATTAGAGTAAGTGTATTAGTTAATGCGCACTCACCGACACCATTTAGGAACACCGCAGCAGTGGTCGCGGCAGTTGCCGCAGCAGTCGCAGCAGCAGTGGCGCAGCATTTTCACGATGCCCCATTATTTCCAAATGACTCTTAGCGCTGGATTGAGTCGACTACAGTAATACACCGTCATTTGAGCACGCATCGGCACGCCCATCTGGACACCCTGAATTCGTCAATACCCACTCCGTTGACCATCAAAAGTCGTTCGATGCAGCCACCGGTGACCGCTAGCAGCCCAGGTAAGTTTTGTTTTGAATTGTATGGTCCTTGTGAACCATCACCGGCACCAGTAATAGATACTTCAAGGGATCGATATCTGAGCGCTGCCATGAGCAATGCCATCACAGACAGATAATCATCATCAAGGTCATCATCGTTGTTGTCCTCATTGAGGTCATCGTCATCGTCGTCCAGCACAACCGCGAGCCCCATGTGGATGAGGAGTTAGACTTGCCATGTCAATGCAAGGTGTGCTTGAAGTTCAGCCTGTGTTGATGCGCTGCACATGTCAGTGGCTGCGTCGGCATGCTCTCGGCAGCGTCGCGGACCTTTTAAAAAGATCAACTGAATTCAGCTTGGCAAGAATTGAACAGCCCAGTTTACTAGCTGGGCAACACAGGTGAGCCACATTCGCTTCACATAAATATCATATTGCTGTGAAGCACTCAACAGATACCCACAATGATTTTGCTCACTATCTCCAGTGAACGTGTTCGCAATACCATCATCACCAACGAGCAAGGACAAGCTATTTACAAGACAGACACTCCGTTCAGACTAGGCACCCGCACCACGACCATTCAGAAAATCAAGCCAAATGACAACCGAGATCATATGCACGACCAGTTCGATGTCTTAGGAGAGATCGAGTGGCACACATTTGTTTCCTCAAAGTTTCGATTCCATGGAACTGAAGTAAATACGGAGGAGTTCATACCGAAGAGAGGCCTGTGGGATCGGTGAGTACATAACGTCCTTCTAAGAAATCTGAGTCGTCATAAAATTCTGGCAGGAAGCGCGTCTTCACAGGACCAGATGGTCGTCCCTATCGCTGGGACCTCAAGTCCAGAGTGGTAGTTGTGAGTACACTTCCACTTCATTGATGCTGATGCATCTGTTTCTCTCATCATGATGACGACTTGGATTCTAGCTCTCGCGGGACGATACGCCTCGAACAGAGGTCGCTCGCTCTCATAGAGCGACTCTGGGAATTATAGGAAGGAAACGTAAAGCCAAGTTGGAAGTATCTCCTGAAGTGGCTCATATGATGGATACTGTCATCATGACGTTCATCTATGTCGAGCAACTTAGAAGGAACAAAGAACAAGCCGCGAGAAGTGCCGCAGTGTCAGCCTGATGCTTACCACCTCGATGACGCACCATATGATACAGCCTATGACACGACACCCTTCGATGACGCGTCTTATCTAACATGGACACCGTGCACGATACACCTATCTGTACTTGGAGATCATCTCTATACCGCTTATCAATCATACGCTCTTCCTCGTTATTGTTCCGTCTCTTAGTGTTGCCGTCGACGTACGGTTCCACGCAGCCTCGAATGCGAATGTACCCCATGAAATGGGATTGACAAACATAGGTGTCGTGTTATGATCCATACCCTTTATGATAACTAGTCGTTTCTTACAACCATTAATACAATCTGTGGGAAGATGGGCATCTCTGTTTTGATCCGCACATTCCGGAGGGTGTAGTGATATGATTATGCTATCTAAATCAATTCCTTCCAGCGATGGTGAAAGCGGTTACATCGAGTCGTAACGATTCTTAAGTATTGGTACCTGGTCCAGGATATGCATGCTGGAGAGCAGAAGTGGATTATTTTTCTACATTGCGTTGCCATAAAAATAGACAACGGTCTGAAGATGCTCTTTGCATTCCCTCTATTAATTTTCTGCACTGACGAGTCCACTTCCCCAGCACGTTGAAAGTCATCCGGCAGCTCATGCTCCTGGCTGTCTCGAACATGCTCTGGGCAACAACATTTGCTATTTGCGACCTGATCATGGTAAGCCTCTTCCCCTTAGAGTCAACCGTGATGTCTAATATAGGGTCGATTGACGAACTATAATCTGAAGCAAAGCCAACCGAGCTGACCCCAGACGGTCCTGAGGCCTCCATGCGAAGTAGCTTGCGTCTGAGCTCGGAACTGGCAACATGATAGCGGACTGCTATGCTTGTTTATTTGATGTTTGTTTAGATTCTATACTAGTTTACGGACAGTGAGTTACAGAGATTGTAAGCACTCTTGGTAGAGGGGAATGCCAGATCGTAGTGTCACATATCTACGCATGCGTAAATTGGAGAATAAGAGTAAGAAATTCACAATATAATTATTGACCCTGCCCAAGATCCAAGCGCCATTCTTCCCGTAGTGTCTGAGACAGCGCACACTGTGATATCATCTTTCGACTCAATGTAAGTCTTCGGCTGTGCAAACGAGTCTTATCAAGACCGACCTTGTAACGGTATATCATGTGTATCATGAACCACTTGGCCGTTAATTAGCCCTGGCCTTTCTGAGTCGACGTTTGCTTGGAGTGAACCATCACTCCAGACTCGGGCTTCTTCCGATGTATTTCTAACATCTCGAGGATTTGTAAATGCTACGACGGTACGGATCATGCTGCTCCGGGACCTTGCTACCCAGACCCCGCGTTTTCCGTAGTCTCCCAATGCCCAAGCTGATACAAATGTCCTCGTGTCATGTACAGTTTCAAACGGGACCGGAGGCACCAGTGGTGGTGGTAAATCTTCAGGCAGTGGCGCCGCGATAAATTGTGGCGAAGGGATTGCCATGGGTCGGACACCCAAAGGCGAGACTGACAATGATGGCAAGGGGTGCACTGTCAACTCCACATAGAAAAGAAATATCCCATGGAATAGATCGTTTGCAAGCGCGGATAGCCCATAAATCTCGGATTCATCGTCATTGATACATGTCGTTTTCGTGAGAGATACCCGGCGATAGGTCATGGTGTGTGGGAATCTGAATGTGAGTTGAGGTAGAATATCAGAGCGCTCTCCAACTCCAGAAGATAAATGCGAGGGGAGAGGATATGCCTCGACGGTGTGCATTCTAAAGACTAGGATATACGGCCCACATATCCGCATGGCGGTAATACCATTCCACTACAAAGCAAAATCCAAACGTTCAGCTGAATAGGTCATTCCATTTGACTTGACTCACTAAATCTCCAGGATCATTAGCACGAAGGGCTACTGTAGCTTGAGCTTTAGTTCTCCAGTTCACAACTTCGAAGGATAAAGCAGTGTTAGAAAGTAAGGCGAGCTCTAAGTCGGCATCGATCGCTCTGATGACTTGTGGTGGAAATATTGAAAATTCTCCCCGAGTGACTAGAACTGGAGGTCCTGATTCCGACGAACCACCGGTATCGAGAGAGATGGTTAAAACTCTCGCAGCAACGCTAGAAATCAACATTCGTTGGAGCTAGAGACTCATAAAGAAATGATAACTGACAGTTCGACATGAGTCAATGCAATAGCAAGTACAGAGCCAGCTGTATTCAAATGATATGCACAAGGATACCACGTCGAAGAAGCATAGGTGACGAAAAGCTCTGCAGCAAAAGGTGCGAAAACATTGTTGATTTTCCACAAATTGATTTTTCCCTCAGAGCCCAAGGACAACAAATGGTGGTCGGAGACGAAGGCTAGGTATCGGACACGAGGGATTGAGTTCTCAATGTCATCTGAATCACATCGTTGCTTGATAAGAAAAGTGTCCTTTCTCGGCAACAGCCACACCTGCTCGACGTGCATTGCAGTTTTGATCAGGCGTTCCAACTGCAAAGTCGACAGTGTCGCAGTTTCTGACTCAGAAAGCGGCCGCGGAAGGACATGGGACATCCGAGATATTAAACTGAGCCATAAGCTACGGTCATGGGTGAATTCAAACAAGGATGTACACGTCTGTAATGCTTGGCTTCAGTTCAAGCCTGTACGGACAAAGAAAAGGGGGTGCCTTGCGCAGAGAAAGGATCGTCTTCACATCCAAGAAGCTGGCGACTTGAAGCTGGAGCTCGACAGGGAGATTATGCATCTTCAAGTTTGTTGGGAGTACTATACTAGAGTGGGGGTGGCTGTGCAATGGTTTATGTATAAATCTAAGTATTTTTAGTATGTTACTATGGATGGATCTGTAGACACCTAGGTAAGACTTTGTACATACTGGTAATCGTGAATGTCTAGCAGTAAGTAATTATGTGAAACTGGTCCAATCGATGATTGCAATGCACATCAAGGCATCGACCTTGTCAATGAAAATTAATACTATGTAGCCTTGCAAGAGATAGTCGGTGACGGTGCAATAGTATTGTCGTTACGGCGATGATGATGACGACGACGATGTTGAACGGAGTAGCCAATCATGACTGTCCAAGGACGATTGGATTGCTTGCGAGTCATCCGATTCCTCAGCTTCGGAAGCACCAGGCATGAGATTGTTACGCCACTCGTCCGACGTGGCACTGCAGAAGAAAGACGGCATATGTTTAGAACAAAGACGAGTGAAGGGGAAGGGAAATGGGAAGTACCTTGTTGTTGTTCTCGATCTAGCAACTTGGAGAGGAAGTTTAATTGCAGTCGTAGCTCCAGATAAAGTAGGATGCGGGCGTAGTACAGTTGGAACTTTCGACCTATGTGGCCGCGGAGTAGATTCTTCGTCAATCTCGGGAACAGGTTTCAAAGGCGTATTGCTGACATCCACATCTGTGTCATGATCGTTGCCTTTGAGATTCTTCGACCGCCTGGTGCGAGTTTTTGTTTTCGACGGCGATGCAGCATCAGAGTGTTGGCCAATATCATTGGCACTAAGAACTGCATGCGTGGTTGACCGTCTGACTCGTGGCTGTTCATTTTCGTCCATGATCTCTATGGTGTTGTCATCAGAAATCTGCATGTTGGAAGAATCAGACTTGGCAGAAGTGGTGCGGTATATCATCCTAGCGCCTGTCCTAGAGCGCGTAGATCGCCGGCTCGTCGAACTATACACAGACATGTCGTCGGTCCCAGAGTCCGTAGCTGTTCCTGACCCAGGTTTCACAGTGTTCCTCAACGGCCTGCGTCGGGTTGCCGACTCGCTCGCTTCGCTAACTTCACGAGAGGAATGCCGCGCAAGCTCCTTCGATTTCTTCAGTTGCTCTGCCCGCTGGCGAGCTTTCTCTTTCCTCTCCATCTGTGCTGCGCACTTACGCTTCTTCTGCTCCTCTTTCCACATCTGCTCCTCAAGCTTCTCTTCTTCCTCAAGCTCCAACCTTCTGGCTTTGGCACGTTCCATAACAATGCGATCCGCAACACCCTCATCGTCGTTATCATCATCACCGATTGCCGCGCCCTTACCAAAACCGGTATCGGGGAACATGGCAACGCCATACTGTGAGCTTTCACGGAGGGTCACAATCGCGTCGTCCCTGTCGAGACAAAGGTCTTGCATGATGAGCCCTACTGCAGTTTCGGGGATCAGTACGAGCTGAATGAACTCCGCAGGTGTGAGAGGGGCTATCGAGGAAGGTTCAAATGATGACAAGGGGAAGAGATTGTAGAGTGTTTGATGTATGATCAACAAGCCGAGTTCACCATAGCTAGGACACCATTTAGTACACAGACTTACGAGAATCGAATGTACTTACTATCCAGGTTGAGTCTTTTCGAAGCTGGTAAACTGGCCCTTCACACCAGTAACCGTCCGACTGCCTTGTTTCTTGATCTGCTTCTTGATTTCTCTCCAAAAGTCACTTCGTGCTGGAAGACCCTTGGCATCATCATCCACAGAATCCTCATTGTCATTGTGGATGCGGCAATCGCTGATTATAGCTTCAAGCGCGCCCCTCATCTTCTCAATCCTCTTCGGTACCTTCTTGAAGTCGATACTTTGTGGCCATCCCTTCTCCATAGCTTCAGGCAAGGAATGCGTTTCGAAGTGATGTCGCTGACAAGCTGCGATGTAAATTCCTAGAGGAGCTTTGAGCCCGCGAGAATTTCGAGGACGCGGGTCTGGGTATGACTTCCGTTTCGCAGCCGCCAAGAGATTCATCAGTTGTGGAGTTGGATTACGCGGCAGTGGTTCATCGCAGTACGGGCAAACTGTAGAAGGATCAAGCATTCTGTCTATTTCAACTGCACGTATAAGGTGTTAGAGTGTTAAATGAAGAATACTGGATGAAAAGAAAGACCTACATGAGTCCTCATCCAGGTATTCATCTGCACCCTGAATCAGCCTTGTTAAGAATCAGCCATTGAGACAAGTAGTGCAACGATCATGAGGAAAATTTACCTTAATTTTTCTTCTTTGTGCCTCTTGGCTCTTCGCCCGTGCTCTCCATCGCTATCGTCCGAAGCTCGCTTGGACTTCATGCTCTCCGAAGACGACTGAGGGCTACACCGATGTGCAGTCTTGATTTTATTTGAGCTCACGGGGAAGGGTCTAAGGGCAATATTGGTCCGTACTGTATCGCGGTGGTTTATAGCAATTTCAGAGTCGTCTTCGTCCTGATCAGAGGTTAGTGCACGTCTCTTCCCCTTATCCAGCGAGGGTTGTTGCACTGGGGAAGTCAACGGGGAAGGCACAGGGAAGTTTCCAAGTGTCTCTGAGTGAGCGAGGCCTGGCTTCGAAGTGTGCGAAGACAGTGGAAAGGGGCTGAATCCCGTAGGTCCGAGGAGTTGCTGCTTCGGAAGATTTGACTTTCCCAGAGGGCTCATAGGGAAAGGAGCGCCGGGTTGACGTGACAGTGCATTTGTCTTCTCCTGCGGCTGAGGGCCCGCGGGGAAAGGAGCATTAGGTTCACGTGGTAGTACACTTGTCTTCTCCTTCGGCTTGCCTATAGGTATATTTGCATTTTCCTTTTTCGCTGCTGAGGGCTCTCGAGCACTCTTCCAAGGAGGAGAAGCGTCAGAAGCGCGGGAGCCCCTACCATATACCGAGGAATGACCACCCAAAGGGAATGGCCGAGGCTGCCCGCTAGCACGCGGAGTTGCTTCGGGACTCCGACCACGAACCACTGAGCCCTCAGCCTTCACAGCTCGCGTCTTAGTAACGCGCTTGGGAAGTCCGCCTTCTCCAGTCAGTGATGAATTGGCCGTCTTCCTGGATACAGAGTTCTTTCCTGGACCCGGACGTGCAAAGGTCCTGCCCATCTCTTTCTTCGGCTTGGTTGCAGGCTTTGTCTGAAAGGCTATGTCGTCGGATATTGGTCGGAATAGTTCTTGAGAGTCGTCTGCGTCGGGAAAAGATGATGATGGAAACAAATCCGGAATACCCTCTTCTACCTGCGACTCCTTCTTAATCCTCTTGAAATTGGGGAGTTTTCCTTCCCGAGGAAGGTAATCCGGGTGATACGGATGATCGTTTGAGGCAAGACTGGATTTCTGAGGCACCGACACTGTTGCCTTGCCGCGGCGAACAACGCGTTTATGTTTAGGTGACAAGTCTAAGTCCAATGGTTGAGCACCTTCAGATAATAACAGCTCGTCATCACTGTCACTAAGAGCATGTTCCATACTGTTCGTGATAGGACGCGACATGGCAGGCTTGACTTTGCTGCCGGCCGCCTTGCCTCGCACTGGTTGGGATGGAGCAAACGAGGACCCCAAGTCTTCATGGCCCCGACCCTTGCCTGACTGGACAGAGAATGGACGCTCTGGCATTCTATGGCTTTTGTCTGAGAAGATGTCAGTTTTGTTCCTCTCCAATTTGGTTTCAATGCGCTCCATCTTCGGCTATCAGCCAGCCACTGCTGAGGTAATGTGGATGGTGACACGCTTCTTATGCGTAATAGCCGACGCGTTGTTTTGGTTAGTTGATTTCTAAAGCTTGTGCCAAACCTGAACAAATACAGCTGCCACAGTGACTACTGACCACATCTGACTTAATTACCGCGAGGAGCCATTACTAGCGAGGCTGCAAGGGTCCAAGTGCGCCGGCCGTGTTCACATATTCTTTGAGCCAGAACAACTTGCTTATAACTTGATCCAGGATGGACGTTGATGGATGACGATTCTTGTTCATTTCATCATGAATCCTAGCTGGGTTAATAACTTAATTGCTACTAGGTCGGAACTTGTGACTGGCCATTTGTGCCTGAGCACCTTGTTGTTCGTGTCTGTAACTAGGGTGCGGTCCGGTGTGGCGCGACCTACCGCAGATCATTGAATTTCTCACTGCGCCTTTCTCTGACCGGATGTTCTCCTAACAGGTCGTTTGTCAGCCAATAGGGGTGTGCGTGTCCGTGGATAACGAAGCCGAGTCCTCGTCGGACTCAGACGGTCATTAAGTAGGCGATCTTTCGAAATAGGTAATTCTGCGAGCTCTTCCAACTCAGTGGCCTGTAACACCGGGCTCAAACTATCCCGCTAGACAGAGGTGGCTCACAGTTCAGCCCCGGATCTACAAACATAGTTGTTCATTAACCAGAACTAGCTATTAGACCATGCGACCCCTATTTCAAGCTGGTACACTTACCAATGCTAGTGAGCTCTCCACCAATGACAGTGCTTGCTTGCTGAAGACAACCTCAAGTGTGAACTTGAAGACAAGAGCCCTGTGGAATGTGACTCATCGAAGTCCAGTCCAGTCCTACTATATATAAGCTCATTGGATATGTTTTGAATACCAACCAACTTTGTCTCGTCTCCTTGCACAAGTGTGTATTGGGTTCCCGATGACTCGTCACCAAGGAGACCCAGCTTTTCGCGTACTAGCAGAACATCAAGTCACAGAATTTATCACAGATGCCCCACTTCATAACGAGGAAGGGGACAAAGGGACCTCAAAAACTATATCCCGTGCACCGACTGTGCTAGAAGATGGGTTCCTCTATGTCAGTCTTCGCACAATCTTTCGTTATTGTAATACACTTACTGACAAGGACTAGGTTGATTTCGAAGACGGAGATATGCGGAATCCAGTCAACTTCTCTCCTACAAGAAAGTGGGCAATCACGATAAATGCTTGTGTCTTTACGAGCACTGTAGGTAAATATACAAGTTGTGGAGACACATAACTTTATGTTTATCATCTCTTTTCCCAGCTGCTGCCATATCTTCATATACTATGGGTTATTCGTCCATGATCAGAGACCTCAATTGCACATTATTTCAAGCAACTCTGGGATTTAGCGTGTACACCATAGGATTTGCACTCGTGCCCTTGGTCACTTCGTCGTTCAGCGAGGAATTCGGCCGCTTTCCTTTTTACATCGTCTCGTCTTTCATGATTGTACTGACTGAAGTGATGATAGCTTTGTGAGTTTGTGTCTCACTGGAGCGTCTCTATTTTTCTATAAGGGTTGTTCAGGGCACCGAATATACAAACCGTCATTGTAGCTCGTACTCTTGGAGGGTGCTTTGGCTCGACGGGCGCGACACTCGTGGCTGGGAGTATCGCAGACATATGGCTGCCTCATCAGTTGGGTGCACCATTTGTTTTTGTGAAATCGAGATCTTATAATCCTGAAGACGAGGACTCCCGATGTCCCTCTTTGCCTTGGCGGCTCTTGCATCTTCTGGATTAGGCCCGATGGTTGCGGGCTGGATCGAAGCTAATCCATCCCTGCAATGGCGGTGGATACAATGGATCCATGCTATGTGCGGTATTATTTGCTTTCATCTTGCTGTCCTGGTCCTAATTATTCTTTTTTTAGCGTTAGCGGGGTGTGTTCGATCTCCATGCTTTTTATTCTGAAAGAGACTCGCTCGACCATCATTCTGGCTCGTATAGCCCATCAAGTTCGAAAGAACACCGGAGATGGTCGATATCGTGCAAGATCAGAAGTAGACAAGCCTTGCCTTATGTCTATGGTTGCGACTTCATGTACTCGCTCATTAAGTCAGTGCATTCATCAGCACTGAACCATTTGCTGAATCAGTGCTAGTTCTCTTATTCACTGAGCCCATTGTTCAGGGCTTTAGTGTATGTCGTTTCTCACTGATCTTCACTACAGACCTGACTCACAAGCCTTGCAATTGATTCTATATCCAGCTCTGGATTAGTTTTGTATGGGGAGTCCTCTTCTTTTTACTCGAGTAAGTGTCCCTGGACCTTGATGTAACATTAAGAACAAAGTTGCTGCAGTTCAGTATCGAGCGAATTCAAAAACATCTACGGATTTGGTGTCGGAGAGACTGGGAGCGTTTTCGTCACCATAGCGTAAGGCAGATTTTTCGACGTAAGAAAGTGTGGGTAATGACTGAACGTTTCAGCATCGGAAGTTTTCTAGGTTATTTGACTAATATCTACGGGGAAAGACTATACAAGTCAGTATCCGACTCTCTGAAGAGGAAGCCCAGACTGATCATAGATTTAGAAAATATGTCCACCGCAAAGGCCCAGAAGCTCGTCTTTACATAGCTTGCGTAGCATCCATAATCTTTCCTATCGGAATGCTCATCCTTGCGTGGACCGCCCGAGCGGATATCCCATGGATAGTTCCCATGATTGGCCTTACGGTCAGCATCTTTCAGCTATCGATCTTCCCTATCACCACTTATGAAACTGCCAGCTTTTCATGACCTCCGCTTTTGTCCTGTATCAAGTCGTATTCATCTACTTGGCAGATTGGTGAGCGCTACGTCCACTTACCAGCATGCTTTGTTTGCCTGTTGACGAGCAGCGAGCTAGCTATGGGCCCTATGCATCTTCAGCGCTGGCAGGTCAGAGCATGTGTCGTGAGTCCTTTCCCGTTCCTGTATCAAGAACATATCCGATGTGGCTCGCAGGAAATATACTTGCTACTGTCTTCCCGCTCTATACGAGCCGAATGAATGACGTCCTAACGTACAAATGGGCAGGTACAGTCTTTGCGCTAATAGCGGCCATCATGATTCCTATACCATATGTGAGTGATTCGAATACTCTATCACATGCATTTGCCTACGATTATGTAGATTTTTTTCTTTTATGGGTCGAGAATGCGAAAGTGCAGCCCTGTCTCCCGGAAGATCCTGGAGATCGAAGCCGAACAACAGAACTCCGACTCGGAAAAGTCGTAAGAATATTATTCACTCGTTGCACGTCATTAAGTTATAGAGATATGGATATGGCGAGAATGCTTGCCATAGTTATTTATGACATGTTGATCGCACGAAGATTCTCGTAGCAATCAATTGACATCCTACATTTTGTAAGAACGGAGCGATTTCCAATTGGTGTCTACGATCTCGACAACTTGAGTATTATGAAAGCAATCTCCTTCGGGGGGCGGCTCATAGCGGACCATACATGACAGCCAATATATCGAGAGGCAGTGTAAGTATCATCGATATTTTCGAAGTCTGTTCCTCTGTCGGAGCCCTGGAACATTGGTTTCTTACAGACATGCATGCTGCTAAAGCAGTAAGGACGACGACGAAGGAGAAATGCATGGTTTGTGCGATGTGATACGAATTTTGTGAAGAAGAATCTTAACTAATCTGAGGTGAGGGGTACGCTGAGCGCGGCCAGCTTTTATGTCGTGAAACGGCAATACACAAGAGCAGGACATTGCGACTACGTTGTCACAACGGCATGCTGAAGTTTTGGTGGCATCAAGGCTTCTATAGCTAGAAACATATGGAGCGTCAATACCTGGACAGAGGCAACGTTGCATTGGTGATGACATCGATGAAACTTTGTAATCATGTTAGGCGTACGTCCCTACCATTAATGGCAACTCGATGCCGTAAAGCCCATCTGGCTTACCAATCTCATGCTACGCCGCTAGTAGCAGAGATCGTGCTTGACAAAAGTGAAACAGTATTCTTGCCAACAGCTCCGATTGATGTACCCGGCGCTAGCATGCATTCTCGTTAAGATGAATTATATGAAGGCAGACGGCGCCCTCGCGCACCCGCTGAGTCCTTCGTTCTCCCACAGTCGGAGCTAGAACTCTGAGTCATCCTACAGGCCTCTTAACAGTAAACCATCACCCCCTAATGCAACTCCCTGCACCGTCCTACACTGTGGCGCACTACCCCTCACTTACCCAGGACCGCAGCCCTGCGTGTCGCACCTAAGCTGCTGATTCGTGCTCGTGACGACGTGAACTGTGGTCCGCTCTCAGGCTCTCACGGCATGGTGCATCTACCCTGTTACACCCGAGGCCCAACATCCATTCCTCTGGCGGCCGCATCTATCTGTCACCCTGCGCTGAGTACACGATGCACACCTCCTTATTTTCTCCTTCAACTTTGCTCTCACTCCTTTTGCCACTCAGCATTGTCTGCATAGGTTTTCAACTTTATTTTCATATACACCCGCATTAGGAATCATGAACAACGTCGAGGACTTCTCGAGACCATTGAAGAAGATGGCCGCCGCCCGACATAATGTTATATTACACCCCCAGGATATTGTGGCACTTCATTCTCCCAACTCAAGATTAGAAGGGCTTCTCAAGCCTCGTCAATCCATTTTGTTGGGTATAAAGCATGAATGCAGTTGTCAATCGATAACACACCTTGGGGAGATCCGCCACAGCTATAGGCCGCGAGAACAAAGCAACTGCGCAAATTGTTCGATTTCATCGGCTTTCCCACTGGAAACAACGAGATGAGATTTAGGTAATCCTTGTTGAAAAACACGTACAAACGCACCCATCTGTTCTGCCACTGCTGGAGTAGGCTTGTACATATAGCTGTCCATTGATCGTGGGTGTTTGATCCTTTCTACATGAGGTGTCGTACTGAGAAGTAGCATAGGGGAGTCTGCTCCAATTGACAGTGAGTAGACGTGTGTGTATCGCTGTGGTCGACCAAACATAGAGCAAGTTTGGTTTTCTCATATTCTGAGCCATTCTTGACCAAGAAAAAGGTTGAGTCTGAGTTGGCTCAGCCTGTTGGAACACATTAGAGGCGATATCAATTATCATACTTATCCTCGAAATCGGTCGGGGCACACACCCATTCTACAGTGAGGCTTGCGTTGCTACCTTGAAAGATTTTTTTCGCCGTGAGGAGCTGAGGTCCATTGCAACCCACCTTCCTTTAGAAACCGAGTGTCGTTAAAAACTGGTAATTGGGTGACACAGATAACACTGTACAGCAAGTATTTCAACGATGTGGGGAGTCAGGCTGAAATTGTCATTTTCCTTGATTGTGCTAACAGCGATCCTTCAAAATCTCATCAGTTCCATCATGATGGGATTAGATATAACACTTCACTACTTCGAGTGTATAGTCTAGTAAAACAAGAGATCTGAGACAAGACACAGACGATTTTTGAGGTACTGTGGGGCCAGTTGATGATCAGTTACTTGTGTCGATGGAGACATTGTACATAGTACAATGGTAGTCCGAGCCACTTTAAGCACTCACCCCTATTAAGACTCAAACGGGAACGGCGGACTGGCCCTGGGGGTACGCCTCACACCAGGGCATTCGCGCACTCGAGACACGATAGCGACACTTGGGGGTCCCTTGAGATTAGACTAGAACGTATTGTCCTGCAAAAGACAGACATTGGAATTTAAAAACCCTCAAGGGCCCTGAGCGTTTATCGGTTTGAGGCAGTGAAGTACGTAAAACGTATAAAACACCCACCTCTGCAGCTTAGAGAAAGAGATAATCCCTCCAAAGTCCACCTTGACACGGCATCAACCTCCAGTAAAATGTGGAACCTCACTTCAACCACCACACCCTTGCGAGAGTTCAAAGGTCATAAAAAACGAGTAAGCGCAGTCGCAGTTTTCCCCGATCAACGACGGATGGTTACGGCGGGCTCCATGGACAAGACGCTTCGGTTATGGGACTTGAAGACAGGTGTTGTCTTGAAGACGATGGAGGGGCATAGTAGGGAGGTGCGGAGCTTGGCGATATCACGAGATGGGCAATTGATAGCAAGCGGTGATTGGGACGGAAAGGTCATCGTCTGGCATGGAGAAACTGGCAAATTACTCGCCAAAATCAAAGCCCACTCCCTTTGTATCTCCTCGCTGGATTTGTCTCCCGATGGCACAGTGCTGGCCACTAGTGCATATGACAAAACGACGAAGCTGTGGGACACTAAAACCTGGCAGCAGCAAGGAAATCCAATCCAGTGTGATAAAAATATGAACTGCATACGGTATTCACCGTCTGGAGAACTTCTTGCCATCGCAGCCAACAACAATATCCAAATTTACAATTCACGCACGAGGGAACGCGTCGCATCCTTCAAGGCTCACACAGGATTGAAGTTGTTACTCGCATGGACCCCAGATGGCACACGCCTTCTCATAAGTGGTGATAAGGATGATCCTACCATACGCGAATGGAATGCAAAAATCTGGAAGCAGGTCGGTGATCCCTGGACGGGCCATACTGATACAATCAATGCTATTGCCATTCATCCTGCTGGCACACACGTTGCCTCTGCGTCTAATGACAACATCCGTCTCTGGCGGCTCTCAGACAGAAAAACCGTTGCCATCTTCAAGCACTCATCCCCCATGGAATGCATTACTTTCTCGGTGGACGGCAACTACATCCTCAGCGGAGGTGCCGATAGCATGATCTCGCAGTGGGCAATGCCAATACCTCAGGATATTAGTAGTTCAAAGGCATGTTTTTGCCCTTGATTCATATGTACCATGATTCGAGCATGATTCACGCAGATCCTAGCCACTGCGACAGTGCGTGATGCATGCGTAAATGGAGACTTGTCTACTGCCGCAGAACTACTCACCCAAGATATCGACACCGATTCGAACAACCACACTTCCTACGCTCATCGCTCATTCGTTATGGCGCGAAAACACGACTGGGACCATGCCCTTCAGGACGCAATCAAGGTGAGATACACTGACCCATCATCGCTCCTTTATGAATGACTAACTCGACGATGTTATAGTCCATTAGCATTCGGCCGTCATTGACAGGCTATATTTCCAAGGGCATTGCCCTCTGCGGAAAAGGCTGCGTCCCGGATGCAAGGGCAGCATTTGATGTTGCATCACTGTACACGGACCAAGATTCACAATTCCTCCATTTCTTGCTCTTGATCAAAGTATGTTATATTTGTCTTGCATACTCTCTGCTTCATCGCATATTTCAGGCCATCGCGCTCTTCAATGCAGATCAACATGACGAGGCAAACCTGCTCCTCAAAGAACTCATTACCGGTTGTCCGAATGCTGATACTCTCGCGTGTTGTGTCGTGCAGGTAAGTATCATCCACACTTGGTCATCGACACTAATTTTTGCAATTCGCACATTAGACATATCTACGTGTTCAACTTGGGCTCAAAGCTTTGGATGGCGCACGTTACGATGAAGCCACTGACCATTTCACTGTCGCTCTCGATTGCAGCACTTTGTCATCGAAATCAGACATCCATGAAATTTACGAAGATTTGGTGGTGGTACGTTAATACACATCCGAAATCTGTTCATGATTGAGTCCCTTGTTCAGCTCTTCGGCTGGGATCTCAAATCGTTGCGGCTCACTGCACACCAGAAACGGTGCCAGGCTTTCCTTTCCTCAGGCAAAGTCGATGAAGTTCTCGAATCACACAAATCTATGATGGACAACGTTAACGAAACAACAAATGCCAACTGCCTTGAGTGGTCCACTGGCAAGTCTTCTGTCTTCAGTGATGTCACCCGAGGTCATAATCCTCGCCCGCATTTTACTCAGTTATCAAGCAAGAATGCAGTGACCTCTTTCTTACCAATGGAGACACTGCCCTCGCTGCAAACAACTATGACAGGGCTATTGACCTTTACTCGGCAGTGATCGACCTGAATACTGCATCTGATACCGTTTTCGTAAAACGCAGCAAGGCAAGGTTGGGGAAAATGTTATGGAGAGAAGCACTTCTCGATGCGCAGAAGGTGCAATGGCATTTATCGTTTTCAACCTATACTTATCATGGTGACGCATAGGTCACCGAACTCAACCCTTCCTCTCATATTGGATACAATTTGAAGCACGCAGCACTTCATGGTGCACAACGCTACGATGAAGCGATACAGGCCTTCAGAATCATGCTCTCAAAATTAGACAATGCTCCCGACACTGAGACACGAAGTAAGCCTCAGAAAACTCATGCGTCAACATACTTTAACTGTTTCTGCAGAGTTGCGCCGGCAGTATCTCAAACCATTCGAAGTGGACCATGATATTCGAAAGGTCATCAATGCTCAACTTGAAAATACTCCGCCACGTGTACTCGACACTACCACCGGTCTCTTGTGCGATCGAGAGACGCAGATGCGCATCTTCAAAATGAGCAAAGAGTACAAAGAGCTTGTATCATCAACAATCACACACCCAGAATTCCGAATGAAGCGCATCAAAGAAGTGGTGATGACGTACTTCCAATATGCCATGCTGTCGCACAGGTGGGAAGAGAAGGAGCCTCTGCTGCAAGATGTCCAAGGCAAGGATGTCTATAAGTTGGATCCAGTTGGTGGCATCACGAAATTGCAGTCCTTCTGCAAAACTGCTCGTGATTTGGGATATCGCTGGGCGTGGAGCGATACATGCTGTATCGACAAGAGCAACAATGCTAAGCTCCAAGAATCGGTCAACTCCATGTTCATCTGGTATCACCACTCCGCGCTCACTGTCGTATACCTCTCGGATGTTCCACCTTCGTCAAAGTCTGGCGCGCTGGCAAATAGCGCTTGGAACACACGCGGATGGACGGTTCAGGAATTCCTCGCTCCCAATATTATTTTGTTTTACCAGAAGGATTGGACTCCTTATCTCGGCGATCGCACTCCAAACCACAAGGATTCCGTTGCGATCATGCAGGAGTTGGAGGGAGCGACGGGCATAGATCGACGAGCCGTCGCGGCCTTTCGTCCTGGGATGAGAGGCGCCCGAGAGAAACTTCAGTGGGCGTCGAGACGTATTACCACAATCCAAGAAGACATCGCATACTCGTTATTCGGCATCTTCGGTATCACCCTACCTATCAATTATGGCGAGAAGAAGCAGAACGCACTCGGGCGGTTTCTGCAAGAAATCATAGCTCAGTCGGGCGATATTACCGCCCTGGACTGGGTCGGAGAACCATCAGAATTCAATAGCTGTCTACCAGCCGACATCACTTCATATGAAAATCCACCATGCAAACTGCCATCTCTACCCGAAAAAGAGATTAAGTCATCGGTCTCCTCACTGCAAGGTGTTGTGGTTCTAGAGTCGGCTTCGAAATTATATCAGAGACTGGACTACCTGAGCGCTCCCCGCTTCGCGAACCGTCGGTTACATCTGCCTTCCATCGTATTCCCGGTCACAGAAGCCAGGCGGAGGCCAAGTCAAGACCAGAACACATATACGTATGAACTCAAATCGGACGGGCTTTGCAACCTGCGGATCACTACAAAAGACAAGTTCACCCCGTTCTGGCCGGCTCGACCTCCTCCTTCCTGGCAGACGATATTACTCGTTCGCCCATGGAGTCGCGATCTCCTCGGGCTACGTGAAACTGCGGACGATACGCAGAGCGTGGACAATTTATCCGTGTCCGAAGCTTTGTCGCACGATTCACTCCCTGCGCGAACTTTGCCGATTGATTGGGATTCTCACTCGCGAGCATTGCGATTGATCGTTCGCCTTGGACAGCCTTTTAGTGCATTTTTGCTAGCACGGCAGCGAGACGGAGAATTCAAGAGGATCGCATCGGAGCATGATATCATTGCACAGGTTAAAGACATGGCTTCTATCAGCTACTTGATGGACACTAGGACACTAGAGATAGTGTAGTTGTATGGATGGATCCTTTCGACAATCTCACACCTGTTCCAGGAGAGCGTTTATCATCACACCACTTTCCAACAGATCGATGGCTCAGATGAACTATTTTCTCCAATCCACCCACAAATACGGTTGATGGGATCGAACATGGTACGAGTGATAAGTATGGATTTACACTGTAATTGTCGAATGTGTTGTGGAGCGACCAGTAATGTTAATATCTGTTGCGAACTATGCAGCATGACACGGAAATGAATGGAATTGATTTGAAACGTAAGAATCTGGTACAAAGCAGGCGTGCCGCAAGTACTTGTCACTCATGATGCCATCCCTGTCGCTGGGTAATGGACCCCTAGTGTGATGACGACCTGCATGAACATCAGAATTAATTCGATATTAGTAGATACAAGAGCCACGCAAATCAAGCTCATATTCATCTGTGTTTTGCTTCAGCATCCTGATGTCAACTGAAGGTTTTGCTCGTAACTTTGGGTGCGGTCATCTGCGGTGATTCAGATACATAACGGGGTGGGACCTAGGCTGATAAGTATAGGCAATCATACAAGCGCATATAGAGTTAGCTGAGAGCTCGGGAGTCGATATAAAATCACATAAACACTACAGGCAGGAAGAAACACTGCCGTCCAAACTTCCGTCTTGAATTATACGCAAGAAACGGCATTCCTTCACAAATTCATTGCACAATGCAGCCACAGGCGCTCCACGAATGGCGAAATCGGCAAGATAAACACTATGCTATGCGTTTAACGATCGTATCGACAAGTTCCAGCTAGCGCGACCGCGTACGGGTCTGTGCCAAACTCTCACCCCAACGCTTGATCTCCGCATGACGCAAGTGAGGCAAACTGGAATCGAAAAATGGCTGAAGATCCAGCGCATGCGCCATTTCGTATTCGCGTGCTGCGCAAGTGCATGAATATAACATGGACATAACCCGATGACGACGCAGCTACATACCTTGCAGAGCCATCTCCAGCCTATCAAGGTCTATAGACACGTTGAAAATAAATCAAAGCACGGCAGGAGGAATAGCAAAGACAGACCTTTGACGAACTTTGCTTCGTCCGTTTCACCCTCCTCATATTCCTGCACAAAGCCTGATGTTAAAGTTCATCCAGGTCGAGCGATGCGGGACTCACGTTCCAGAGAGCTTCAATCCGTAGTGCTGCTGGGGAACCATGGAGCATATCATGCACGAAATTATGCATAGCTTCCTATACGGTAAAAGATATTTTCGAGTCAGATATACGACTCGGGGTACTGCAAGGTATGAATGGCTAACCGCCTCTAGGCGCTGTTTCTCCTGTTTCGAAATACCTTCTCGAGGTGTAATGTCTCCCACTGTCATATCATCAGTACTTATTCTTGCAATACAAGAAAACATATGTTACAGATTTACCTTGTGCTTCAGCAAGATCATGCACGACAGCCATCATAACGCATCTTCAAACACCACCATAAACCACAACTCATCTACGATGGAAACAACGCACTTGGAAACATCAAGCGCGCTGTCAGATGTACACATAGCGAGTACGGCCATGCGGTACATGTGATCTGATATACTATCGGAAATGCGAGTGAGTGAGTCATGCCATGCCAAGGGAGGGTATGCATCACGAACCTCTCTGCATTTGGGATCTGCAAGATTGAATGGTGTGAGTGATTCAGCAGTATCTTTGGAGGGTAGGAATATGTTCCTTGTTATCGACCCATCCTGTGCGCTTTTGAGTCTACTCGAATGTGCATGAGTGGAGGTATCGTACATCTCGGAGTGATGTGCATCTGTACCTTTAATCTTTCTAGCAGGTGGAAGAATGCCAGCCTGTCGATGGACGGGTCACCGGTTGATACATACAACGGCGGAAACACGCGTTTAGCAGGAGGGGGGATCTCAGACTCGTCCATGTGCACAAAGTGAAACACTACGGGATCAAACTCAAAGGGCATCCGGGGATCCACGGTCCGCTTACGGCCCTACGGGTAAATATAAATCTCCGACTTCCGACTTCCGATGATAAGATATGGTACAATTTCAAAATCAAAGAGAACATGCGCCTACGAAACCTTGCCAGAAGACACGGCCGCTGCTCTACGCCGTTTGCTGCCCCTCCGAATTTCCATCAAATCTGCCTCTATGTCTGCTTCTTTGCTGGGGCCTAGCATTGCTATGCTCTTGCCTAGGCCACCGACGCCGACCATGCTTGAGTGAAGCCCTGCACCTTTGGTACGACGCCTGGAGCCATTATTGCCGGAGCTACCACCGGCACCGGAAGACGGATTAGTGAGGGTCACGGCTGTGAGGGGAAATGGGAAAGGAGAAGGTAGCTCGTCAACGGAGAGGGAGTGGGGGTTAGTGAAAGGGCCGGTTGTGATGGGCGTGTTGCTTCCAAGCGAACCATTGACGTGGTTCTCTCCTCGAAGTGCGAGGGGTGTTGGAGGAGGAGAAGTGCCAACTTTATTTCGCAGTTTCCGAGTGATGTGGGACCGAGACTGAGCGTCTAGCGTTGCGTCTGATTGATGTGGTGAATGAAAATTAGAGGATGTTGAGATGAGAAAGAGAGCGACGTACCGTTTACGGTTCCCTCGCCTTCCTTTTCCTCTCTTGCACGCCGTCTGCGCTCTTCTATACCTTCGAGGAGCCTTTCTCGTATACGATCACGGCCCTTACGCCATTCTTCCTCAACTCTTTCACGTTCCTCCTCGTAGGCAATCTGTATTGATTCCAAGGTATGCTTTTCTTCGAACGCATGCTGGGCGAGCAAGGCGGAGCGCTCAAGAGAGATGGGATACAAGCGGAGGTTATAAAGAGGATGAGTTTCTGGGCGGGATGCGAGCTGCATTGCGGCGCTGTGGAGTGCAGATATATTTTCAGTGAAGTGTCGTCCTCTAACATGAAGTTGAGCGGAGATGAGAAAAGTGGTTGGGAGGAACATACTCGTCTCTGCGGTCTAGCATCTCTTTTCCTACTTTGCCTGATATATCCTTCCTCTTTTTCTCTCGTTTTGGATCGTCTTTGTTCGCATGCAGGTCAGTACGTATATTACTTTAGAAGGCAAGAAGTAAAGACATACCCTGCACGCGAGATGGACCTGCAGTTGGATGACCATTATGATAATGAGGATTAGGACCCTGAGGGGGCTGCATATTCGAATAAGAAATTGTCATGGACATGTTGTCTGGTTGAATAACGTCTGTGCGCGCCTTGTGGGTTGATGCATATGGCAGGGCGAACATTCCTGGCTGTGGCGGCATCGTACCCGAATAGATTTTTTGAAACGTTTGATGTTCAGCGTCAACTGAGAATCGCAGCGAGCTCGACAAACTTTGTTCGACTTTGCGGACCAGAAGCTTCTCAGGCCGGGAGGAGGTTAGTGTTGGGTTCGCTATAAAAAGAAATTCATTGTAACCGATCAATTTATATAAGTCACGCGGCCGAGCCATGCATGCACTTAGTGACCGTCGTGGTCAGTCAGTCGACGCCGGTCTCCTTCATGTTCGCTTTTCTTAGTACTTGCTGGCTTCTGAAGTTCTGGTACACTGAGCAGCCGGTCCGGCGTGAAGGAACTTTATACATCGTCTTGTACTAAGAACTCTCAAAATGTTCCCACTGTGTCATACCAGCATGAAAATTTGGACGGAAATGTATTAACAGCAGCGATATCGCGGACGTGTGCTAGTCAGCTGGGTCAGCTGCCGAGCGCTCACCGAGGATGCCACTCGTGTTGCGTGTCCCTGGGATTGGTTGCTAAGCATATGAATATGTCAGCCTGGCCAGATGTGCGTCATCTATCATGACTTAACATATTCCTATCATGAGCCCTATATAAGTCGATATCAGGAGAACATCTCAAGCCCTCAAACCCACATCAAACTTCAAACATGAGTTTGTGCAAGCACTGCATCCAAGGTGCGTTCATAGCCAATCCACGATCGTGATCACTGATTGCTGATTTTGATTATCAACAGGCGTTCGCCACGAGGGTGACTCTCAGGGTAAGAACCTTTCTATTTCGTCACGCCCTACTTTCTTATCAGTGTCTTCACTAGGAACGTTCAAGACCATCGACGGTGTCGCTTGCTACGTCGCCACCCCTACCGTTGACTATCCCAAGGATAAAGTCATCCTCTTCCTACCAGATGTTTTTGGTATCGAGCTCAGCAATAACCAGGTATGTCATTCGTATACCATTCCTCTTACTTAGACTGATAAAGGGTCCCACACCAGCTTCTCGCAGATGACTTCGCAAGAAACGGCTTCAAGGTTTGCATTCAAGGCTCATAGTATGCACAGACGTGGGCATGACAGCATCATATAGGTCGTTGCAATCGACTACCTTAACGGCGATAAAATTCCTCCTGATGCCATGAACGTTAGTTCTGCCCGATTTCCTCTGCATCGCAAGCCCTGATCCTGTGCCCACTCACAGGCTTCGTATGATTTCATGGCATGGCTCTCCAAGCACGGCGCAGACAAGACCCGCCCACCCCTCGATAAGGTCATCGCCGCACTCAAAGCGGAAGGCGTCACCAAGTTTGGCGCAACTGGCTACTGCTTCGGCGGTATGTTTCCCACTCGGTTATTTCTTCATTTACTTGATGATTACTGCCAGGTCGTTACACTTTTGACCTTGCATTCGACAACGTCATCCAGTGCGCCGTGGTCTCCCACCCCTCACTCTTGAAGGTGCCTGATGACCTCAAGGTAACGATATTGTCGCGCATAATGCTTTCCCCTCTGAACCCATTATTTTAGACGTACTTTTCCAAATCACAAGCGCCTCTCCTGATCAACTCCTGCGAAGTCGATCAGATGTTCCCTGCCGAAGCACAAACACAAGCCGATGAAATCTTTGGCGATGGGAAATTCGCCCCAGGATACAAGCGCGAGTATTTCCCTGGTTGCACCCATGGGTTTGCTGTACGTGGGGATATGAGCGACCCGCTGATCAAAGCTGGGAAGGAGGGCTCGTTCAAGGCTGCTGTGGAGTTCTTCTTGGAGCACCTGTGAGCAGTCTGTCTGTCATGAGATTTGTGTGTGGTACGATTCGATCCGAATAAAAATTCAATATGCAAAGTACAAAACTAAGATTGTCGCATGACATGTGCAGTCGTACCACGTTGCTGGCCGTGTGAGCATGCCAGCAATACTGCAGCGTATGCATCTTCATGCCCAACTAGGGGTTCGCTGTGCGAACTTATGACCTTGCTCCGGAGAATTTTTAATTCGTGGGAATCGGCTTTGTCGACCTCTTCCAACACTCGTCGTTTTCGGACCCCCGATTCTGTGTAAAACATCGTAGCAGCACGCAAAATGTACGAAAGTTCAACAAATCCAAATAGACCAATGCGGCCTCGAGCATTAGGTTGTGGTTCACGCGCTCTACCATCCTCATGCATCTGCTGAAACATTTTGTGCATGTAGCTCCATGTGTTCTCTCTAGTCATGTTGCCTCGCGCTGACGTTTACTGATCGTTGGCTCTCATACCTTCTTCCTTGCTTGCGCCTGACGAGACACAGGGCCAACTTTGTATCCGTGTTGATGAGGCATGTGGTCTCTCTCAGTTCATCCTATCCTTGGGTGTTTTTGTTTCCCTCACATTCCTTTTGTCTCGTCATCAATCTTTGTGACTCCAGGAAAACAGCTCGTTTGGGATCGAGCTCGTGCTAGGTGGACTTTCGCACCGGATAGGTGAGCCACGCACTTCTGACAATTCTCATTATTGTTGTCTAACTAGCATAGTCTCGGACCAAACATCGATATACCTCAAGAGAGGTGCTATGCCATCGTTGAAGTTCACCTCATATTTGGACTGTATCTGTATTTGTATTGTGTCATCGAGACCGAGCTTTGAGCTTGACTGTATTTGTATTATGACATCGAGACCGAGCTATTTCATCGAGACCAAGTTCTGAGATCTGGATCTGAGTAACTAATTGGATACTTTATGAAGTAGTTTTGTGTATTCATATTGACGCAGTTCTATCATTTTCGATTATTGCACAGCATGATGTTCACGTCAGGTGACTGACAGATTATCTGCCATCCAACATGACCTTGCTCCGCAAGGTAATTCATGCCTATGGAGGTAGCTTAGGGCAGGCCCGGCAGGGACTGCCACATTCCCCAGCTTAGTCAGCACCTAGACCGTGATGAAGGTTCGTAGCTGGCATGATGCATCATCACAACTTATCTGCCTTGCTCTGGGCTCAGGCGGCTGGCTCATGTTTCAACAATGACACAGGTGTTCAGTTTTCTATGAGCTGTATATAAGATATCGTCCAATGACTGCTAAACCTCTCCTAACCACACCTAAATATGAGTTTCTGCAAAGACTGTATCCAAGGTGCCGTTTTATATCCTCTCAATCAATATTGAGTATTAATTGCAAACAGGCGTACGCCATGAGGGTGAGCCTCAAGGTAAGTAATTTTCCAACTCACCACGTTGCATTGTTCATAGTGTCCTCACTAGGAACGCCCGAGACTATCGATGGTGTTGCTTGCTACGTCGCCACCCCTACTGTTGACTATCCCAAGGACAAAGTTATCCTCTTCCTTCCAGATGTCTTCGGTATCGAGATCAGCAATGCCAAGGTATGTCCCTTCGTGCTACCATGGTCCTAACATGTTGACCAAAATGGATACAGCTCCTCGCCGATGACTTTGCAGTCAACGGCTTCAAGGTTTGTATCCAAGCACGTAGTATACACTGCTGCGAAACTAATTACATAATACAATGCAGGTCGTCGCAGTCGACTACTTCAACGGCGATGGTCTTCCCATTGATGCCATGAACGTTGGTTTTGACCAATTTCCTTCGCGTCTCAAGCTCTAATCTCGTGTCCACTCACAGTCTACCTCGTTTGACGTCAAGGCGTGGTTCGCTAAACATGGCACCGAGCAGACACGCCCGCCTCTCGATAAGGTCATTGCTGCGCTCAAAGAGAGAGGTGTCACCAAGTTCGGGGCCACTGGTTACTGTTTCGGCGGTACATCTCCTGATTCAACTACTTGTTTCTCTGCCTAACAGTACATGTCAGGTCGTTACACTTTTGACCTTGCATTTGAAAACGTCATTCAGTGCTCCGTCGTCTCCCACCCCTCACTCTTGAAGGTCTCTGACGACCTCGAGGTAACGCATACTGCCGGGCGTGATGCTTCCCCCTCTAAACTCCCTCTATCCAGATGTACTTTACCAAATCAACAGCGCCTCTCCTGATCAACTCCTGCGAATTCGATCCAAAGTTCCCTGTCGAAGCTCAAGCAAAGGCCGATGCAATCTTTGGCGATGGGAAATTCGCCCCAGGATACAAGCGCGAGTATTTCCCTGGTTGCACGCATGGGTTTGCTGTACGTGGGGATATGAGCGACCCGCTGATCAAAGCTGGGAAGGAGGGATCGTTCAAGGCTGCTGTGGAGTTCTTCCTGGAGCACCTGTGAGAAAGTCCGGTCGTTCCAATGTTATGGAGTCTCTGTATGGTACAGTTCGATTCAAAACCAATATCCAATCTCAAATACACAACTAAATTCGTCATACGACTTGCCGCAGTTGTAGCCACGTCGTTAGCCATGCCAGCAATATCAGAGCGTCTACGCGCGTCATGCAGATGAAATAATGCTCATCTTGCAAGGATGTCACTTCCCAATTCGATGACAGAGTTTGAATGCCCAGAATATATGCACTCCTGCGTCATCAGTTGATTTTATCAGCATGGACAACTTTGCGATGAGTTGTATATATAACGGAATATCACTCTCAACCCTCTGCCAATCACCTCAAAGTATGAATTTCTGCAATGACTGTATCCAAGGTGCGTTGTATAACATCCCCGTCTACATTAATTTTGAGCACTGACATTGAACAGGCGTACGTCACGGTGAGCATTTAGGTAAGTTCTTTTCCAACTTGCCACGTCTCATTGTTCACCAGTGGCTTCGTTAGGAACACTCGAGACCACTGTTGCTGGTGTCACTTGCTACGTCGCCACTCCCACTGTCGATGATGCCAAGGACAAAGTCATCCTCCTACCGGACGCCTTCGGTATGTCTATTAATGCTCAGGTACCCCCATCCTTGTGACATGCTACCCCACAACAGCTCCTCGCTGATGACTTCGTCAGAAACGGCTTCAAGGCACAAACCATAATACGTGTAAGTTCAGGACACGATATTGATGTTACAACACAGGTCGTCGCGATCGACTATTTTGGTATTCCTGCTGATAGGCCCTTCAAATTGAAGGCCAGTTTATTATTGGCTGATGCCTTCATCAATAAGTATCCCGAGCTCTGACCCATGACCACTTCCTAGGATAACTTGAAATCATTGGACTTCTGAGGATGGCTCGCCGTTACCGCCAAGGTCACCCGCCCCTCACTCGACAAGGTCATTGCTGTGCTCAAAGAGGAAGGTGTTACCAAGTTTGGGGCCACGGGTCACTGTTTCGGTTGTGCGTCCTTCTATTCAGTCCTTGACTTGATGTGCACTGCAGGTCGTCACCTTTGACCTCGCATTCGACAACATTATCCAATGTGCCGTCATCTCCCACCTCTCATCTCCCCAACGACCTCGAGGTAACTCACATCATCCTCGTGGCACTCTCCTGCTGAACTCGTTCTTCTAGACATACTTTTCCAAATCAGCAGCGCCTATCCTGATCAACTCATGCGAGCATGATAGGTTGTTTTGTGCAGAAGCTCAAACAAAGGCCGATGCTATTTTTGGCGATGAAAAGTTTGCTCCGGGATACAGGCGCGAGTACTTTCCTAGATGCACACATGGGGTTACTGTCCTTGGTGATTTGAGCAATTCACTGGTCAAGGCTGGGAAGGAAGGATCGGCCATGGCTAATGTGGAGTTCTTCCTGGAGCACCTGTGAGCTGCATGGTCGCGGTGTTGCAGGAGGTACAATTCAACCTCAAATACAATGATAATATAGAATATTTTACTGCTGTTACATTTTTCTACGGAAGCTCTTCTCAATGGTGGAAAAGCCTGAGAGAGGTATGCGCAAATACCATCTCATGCTCATCCGCGGCCTTGATACACTCCTCGTCCATCACACTTCCGCTAGGCGCAGCGAGGTACCTCACGCCGCTCTTCCTAGCCCGGTGCACGTTATCCGCAAATGGGAAAAACGCGTCACTCGAACATGCAACCCCATCCAACTTCCCAGCCCATTCCTTCTTCTCCGACTCGCTGAGCGGCGCGGGCACCTCCTCGAATTGCCCCTCCCACTGGGCACGCTCACCGCCCTCGAGTACCTCCCCGCTCACAAAGAGGTCGATCGCGTTCGCTTTCTCTGCGCGCTTGACGCCTTTTTTGAATGGGAGTGCGAGGACGCGCGGGTGGTGTCGTAACCACCAGTTGTCCGCTTTGGATCCTGCGAGCCGTGTGCAGTGGATGCGCGACTGCTGTCCGGCGCCCAAACCGATAATAGCGCCATTCTTGGCATACGAGACACTGTTAGACTGCGTGTACTTGACCGCGAGGGTCGCAACGATGAGGTCCGTCAATGCTTGCGTTGGGACCTATGGAAGAGTTACGATTGTGTGTTACGAAGAGAGTAAGGACATACGTCTTTGTTCTTGGTGACGAGGTTTTCGAATAGCTTGGCGTCAATTTTGACGTCATTTCGACGCTGCTGCAGGCTGACGCCATATACTTGGCGTGTCTCGATATCTGAGGGCTTGTATGACGGGTCCATCTTTTGGTAGCGTTAGCAAACGTAATATAGCTGTGTAATCGGGCGAACGCACCTCTAAGACGCAATACTTTCCTGCCTTTTTCTTTTTGAGAACTTCCAGCGCCGCAGGGCTGTAGCCTGGCGCAATGATACCGTCGGATACTTCCCTGGAGATGATACGCGCTGTGGCAAGGTCACACGGCGCAGAGAGTGCAATGAAGTCTCCGAATGATGACATGCGGTCGGCACCTAAAACAAAATCGTTGGTTGCATACGGAGTCCAATTCCATCGAATGACGCACCTCGGGCGCGAGCATATGCACATGCTAAAGGCGTCAGGGGCTCTTTGAGATCTTCGACGCCGTACACGTGCTTCTCGGTTTCGTCAAGTTCCAAACCCACAGCTGCACCGGCAGGGGAGACGTGTTTGAAGGAAGCAGCAGCAGGGAGGTTCAAGGCCTCTTGAAGCTCCTTTACGAGCGCGTAAGAATTAAGGGCATCTAATAGATTGATGTAGCCTGGGGATCCGCTGAGGACTAGACCATCCAAAGTCAAGAAAACATCCATCAGATAAAATCACAAATCGCACCTTTGAATGGCAATTCGCCTTCAGCCACGAAGGTCTGCGCTGGTTTTTGGTGAGGGTTAGCGCCGTACCTAAGCACCATGCGCTGGACTGGTCCGCTCTCGGGCGTCGATGCATAGTGTTCGCGGAAATACCCGCTAATGGCGTCGTCATACTTTGCAGTCATCTCAAACGCCTTCAGTGCAAGCCTGTTGCGGAGCACCTGCCCAACATCGCCCTGGCCCTGCTGGAACGCCTGCAAGAACGCGTGGTAGTCAGTAGGATCGGAGAGAACGGAGACACGCTCGTGGTTCTTGGCAGCTGCGCGAAGCAGGGTGACACCACCGATGTCGATCTCTTCTACGGCATCTGCGAATGTGCAGCTTGGTTTAGAAATGGTGGATGCGAAAGGGTAGAGGTTGCAGACAACGATGGAGATGGGGGAGATGTTTTGTGCCTTGAGGTCTTGCTCATCGGCAGGGATAGAGCGTGCGAGGATACCTTTTTGTGCATCAGTCAAACGTTGCGCACTTGATATACAAGATAAATATCGTACCACCGTGGACGGCAGGATGAAGCGTCTTCACCCTACCTCCGAGCATCTCAGGCGCCTTGGTAATGTCAGCAACATCCCTAGGACACCGCAGATCAATGAGGATAAGTGAAGAAAGCACGCGGGACTCACTCGATGGGTATTCCAGCCTCCCTGATCTTCTTTGCAGTCCCTCCAGAACCGAGCAGACGGACTCCAGCACTGCGAAGTCCCTGTGCAAGATCGAGGAGATCAGTCTTGTCGTAGACTGACAACAGAGCTTTTTTGGGCTGTTAGATGACATCTGGTTGAATGTAAGTTTTATCATACCAATAGGTTGGGTCATTGCGATGGATGGTGGTATGTAGACTGGTCCAAGACTTGTTCAACATCGATCAGAAAATGACAATCTTATCTTATTTTATCTACGAAAGTTACCAAGTTGGGTAACTTCCCGTGGGCGAAATGATGCAGAATAAAATAAATTTTTACGTATTAGGAAGGTATGCCGCGATGCCAGGTGTTATTTTGTCACCGTTTGAAATTTAGGCCAGGGTACCCTGCAGATTAACATAATGATACCGTGTGTACGTAGGACGTTACTTATTTGGAGAACATGCTGTTTGAAGCTTGGAGCATTTAATTGTACAACTTGAACATTGAGTGTGGATGTGCCTTCAAGTGTATGCATATCAATAAGCACTCGAAGGTTGGAGTGCTGACGTCACGCGTTGGGATTCTAGTCGCATCACGTGTGCAGCCAAGCATTGGGTAACGTCTTTCCATTAAACGCGTACGCGATAGCTGTAAGCATCTTCAAAGCGACCAGGCGTTCATCCGAGTCGTCAGTCCAACTAATGTTTCTTAATGTGGCGCTGAAAGTGCTCTTCGTGCGAGCGTGTCACGTAACTACGTTTACTCCTGCGATGGCAAAGCGCGTTCAATCACTGCCACTGTCACAATCCAATGGACTGGGCGTGGAGTCCTTGGTGCTATTTTTCCGCTTCGAATCACTTAAAAATTCTGTCGCTGGTGGTCTAAGGTCTTTTTTAGACTCTCTCACTCGACAACCAACACCTTAGGTTCTTTCGCATAGACAAGTTCACCGACACCACTTCTCTCTCCTCAAGACAAGTGGAGAGGGAAAAATTGTTGACATCCTATTTGGAGCCACTGTGCAGATGTTGAAATCGACTATGAAACCGTCGCTTAAGACGCCCATGCCTGGATGTGCTTAAATTACTCTCTGGCCATCCTGTGTGGCACACGGATAACATCGAGCTCCTTCTCCAGATTACTGTCTCTCGGATGCAAGTTACGTGGTCACCTGATGGCCAACAACTTGTCTCTGTCTCATTAGACAATACAACACTCAAAATTTGAAACTCGTTGAATGGAGACCAGCCTGTTGAATTTTGTACCGGTTACACTCGCTCAATCGATACACCATATCCTCTGATAGGTCCTTCATCATCACCTCGAACGACAGGATCGCGCAGCTGTGGTCTCGGACCACAAAGAGACAGGCACTCGAACCTACCATAGGTGTCGAATCTGTTGCAATTTCTCCCAATATTGTCAGTAGAGATGACCGGTGAAAGGTTTGGCTCCAGTCTATCACAGCTATACTTGAGCAAGGTAAGGAAGAAAGGATAGCGGAGGGTGAAAAAAGCACAGCGAAGTCGCTGATAGACTCAGCCACAATACTCCCAGTATAACTGACTTATTCTCTAGGAAAACACTTGTTGACCCTACATTGGAGATGATGTACTGAACAGTTCTTTAGCTAGGGCTTCGACTCTATATGGCAAATTGCCAATAAAATATGATGCAACATGTTCCTTCGCACATATCGGGTGACCGAAGCCGTCGAATTTTACCAATATATGATGAGCGTAATCGACGAACCTGCAGTTTGCCTCGAATGGTTCACTAGTGAGTACTTGAAGTTCTCAGATGAACTTGAACAAAGACTTACTCTCTGAGGTCTTTTAGCCTTCAAGCAAAACTGCACTGCGCACCGTGTCTCAAAGGGCTAGGAGACTGTTGTTGCGAGAAATTATAAGTTGAAATTTATTCAGCAGGATCAGGCTGAACTCCTCATGCGAGTCCCTCTGTGCGTTGCAACAAGGGAAAATTGGAATGAAACCTTCATGCCAAAGCTCTTCACAATACGGAAAAGGTGCTGATGATGTCCATAATTTGCAATCATGCTGATACTATTGATGCTCAGGACATCGAACCCAACCCCTCGTCATATCTTGTATACAAAGTGGAGCATGCAGCGCTTCACTTCGACGCTATGATGATGCAGTTGTTTTTGATGGAGACTCAGACTTCGACCAGTTGTCGTCCGCGCTCTGTTGCCTACTTCAAATAGACTGACAGTACTAGTGCTGGCGCAGCTCTGGAAACAACGTTGATCGCTCGCCATGGACAGCGTTTTAGCGCGCTTTTGTTAGCGCAGCATGGTGGGGAGTGTAAGAATCACGTCGGATCACAATTGCGCAGGAGTCGTGGATGGAGCTTCTATTCATGACATGATGGATGTCAGGACACTAGAGATGTTAGATTTCACGCGGTTTCATTCATAATTTTGACAAGAAAATTCCCCTAATATCTTCCGTATGACATGCTGTCCGCGATTGCATGCACGGCATTGTAATTGAATTCGAGATCCACATGATCATTGATCAAAGAAAATAAAAATGTATCATAGATGTTATCTTACTCTCGAATAAACCTACTGTAGTCCGCCTTCCATACATACAAGCAATCCACACAACACCGCAGTAGTACATTATTAGAAACACAAATAACAATACAAGTATCATACTACCGTCCTGCTCCCTGTGTAGGCTTTGCAACTGCCATTTGCATTTGCATCTGCATTTGCATCTGCTGCTGCTGCATCCCTGCTGCTGCTTGCCCATTCACCTGGGCCTGATTTGGCATCCCCCGTCCAACACCCCACTGTGGATAGTTCTGCAATCGTCCTCCAGGCACAGGATAGCTCATATATGGATACATCTGGTACATCATTTGGGGCTGCTGCTGCTGGTCCTGCCCAGGCGGTCTGTACGGCATTGTTGCAAAGTTATACTGCTGTGGCATGCCCGTGTGCTGTGCAGCTTGTGTAGGTTGGGGTGGGAGCGGGTGAGAATTGGGCATGGGCGAGCCTCTGGCCTGGTTTTGGAGCATGGGTGAACCTCTGGCTTGGTTCTGGAGCATCGGGCTGTTTCGAACCGCAGGATGTCCCGGCAAAGGGCTTCGCGATTGTGAATTCTGCGGTGTCATACGTCCAGCTTGCACGTGAGCTTGTGGCTGGGTTTGAGCCTGTGCCTGTGCCTGTGTCTGCACCTGTACCTGGTGGGCCTGATGAGGTTGTGCGTGGTGAACTTGAACTTGAGCCTGAGCATGGGGGTGAGCTTGGGCTTGAGCATGAGCTTGGGCTTGGGCATGAGCTTGGGCCTGAGCATGAGCTTGAGCCTGCGCCTGAGCTTGGGCCTGAGCCTGAGCTTGGGCCTGCGCCTGAACCTGCTGAGCCAATCGGGCTTGTTGGTGCAGTTGCATCTGTTGCATTTGTTGAAGCTGATACATCTGCCCTTGAGCGTGACCTTGAGCTTGAGGATGCTGCTGCATCACATGTTGCCCAGCAGCCAGCTGCGTTGCACCAACCTGTTGCCCGGCTTGTGCAGGGGAAGGCGTCGACTGAGATGGATAAGCCACCTGGGGCGTAGCAGCTTTGGGTTGTGAACCTTGCGGTGAAGCAATTGCGAAGAATTGAGGGGCGGGTTGAGGGCGGTGTGTTGTTGGGGGGAGTTGTGAGCCAGCTGCGAGAGGTGAGGAGTGCGGCGCTTGCGATGGTGAAGGGCGTGGTGATTGTGTGAACCTTTGTGCAGGTGACTGTACAGATGGGAGCGGCGAAGGCGCGCTTACACGGGGTGATGGAGAGGTAGCGTGCCGGGGCTGTGATTGAAGCTGGTTTACCGTGGGGTGTGGGACAGGAGTAGCGGAAGAGCGTGACACCTCGGGGGTGATTTGAAAAGCCTGCGTCGCATCGGCTTTCTTCTTTGTTGGCTTGGGTTTCTGGTCAGCAACTGGCTGTGGAGCTGGTGTTGGCGCCGGTGCGGGCGCAGCCAAGACGGGAGTAGGTTGTAATTGAGCGGGCTTGGGGTTGCGGTGTAGGCACAGGAGCTGGTATTTGGCCTTGTGTTTGATTTTGGCTCTGTGCTTGATTTTGGCCTTGGGCATTTGCTTGAGCTTGAGCTTGAGTCTGAGTTTGTGCTTGAGCCTGAGCGGCAGCTTGTGCTAATTGGGCCTTGAGATAAGGCTGTGTTTCCAATCCAACCGCCATACGAACTTCCTTGGCACGACGGATTGCATCCAATATCCGATAACTAAGTGAAGGTGAGTAAGAAGAGGATACTTTGGAACAATACGAAATACCTTGGGGCGTGAGAACGATTTTGTCTCTGGTTCATGAACTGCATGATCTTGGCCCGACGAGTCTTGTCGGACTCATCTTCCTCGGGCGTAATAGTAGCTGCTTTGCGTTTCAAGGAGATGGGTATACTTGGAGTAGAAACTCTGAGGGTATGATTCGCGATACGGGTTAAATGTGGGTCTGGGTCAAGACATAGGGGAGGTGCTGTTTGTAGCTACAACGACGAGGATGAGATATGGCAGAAAATGTCACGAATATAACATACTAGTATCTGTGCTTCAAGTTCAAGTACTTCCGTGTCGGTGAACTTGTTGCCTGAACGTTGATTCATGAGACATAGATTCGCCCAGAGAGTCTCATCATTCGGGTGCAGAGCAACACGGCTCCGTTCAGGTTTCTCGAGAGGTGGGTCCTTTGCTTTCTTTGGGCGGTAGTCTAGTAGCTCTACAAGCATGCAGCCTAAACAAAATCATGAAGTAAGGACCTTGTACGGATGTCCGACTACTCACCATCATAGAATGGCACGCGTGCAGAGTCGAAAAGTTCCAGGTAGTCAACCGGTATACGGTGCGCTCTGACGTCATCCAGTATTGACTATTGATGGTTAGCATAATTCCTGCATCTTAAATTCAGTAACGCACTGCGATAGGATTATTATACAGGAATTTGGATCCGTTGTTGAGTGTCCAGTGGTCGGGATAGAGATGGACTGAGAAAGATGGTGCAGCGTCTTCATGCAAGTCTAGTAGTTGTTCCGCCGAGCGCGTAATATTGTAACAAGACATTGCGGACTACTTACGCGCTCGCTAATGGCTTCAATGGCACCGTCTCTGATGACGGTCCAACCTAAGTAGTCCAAACTTCTGTTCAAGGACATTTACGTAATCGTCCACAATCCATTAAGCACTCGTGGGAATTATAGTAATAATGGATGTTGTACAATGGAGGCACAACTCAAGGAGGTTCGTGTCTTTATGGACAACTAAATCAAAGTGTTGACTTACTTGCAGCTCATCCCATTCTTAAGGGATAAGAATCCACAAGTCCGACAAATAGCCTTGTCAAATTTGCTCGGGCAAACACCGGAAGGATCTCCGCATAGAAACATTTTTTACCATGGCCTCGGAGGAACAGGCTTACAGAAACCGAAGGAAACGGACATCATCCGTGATCTTAAGCTTTTATGTCGGGATCAACTCGTATGTATACCCATTTCAATTGTGATCAAGCGATGATGGTCACAGGCGGTCGCGCACGATGCTTTCCGTGCATTGGTCAATCTCTCCGATTCACCATTGCTAGTACCATTTTTATCGGAACCAGCCTTTCTCGCTTTCTTGGTATCATATATCTTGGTTTGTGCTCTACGTCACGTTTGTTTCACAATGTCTTACCGCTTCGTAGAACGCAGATTCCATACTTGCAGATCTGGCATCCATGCTGCTTTCCAATCTAACTGCCTCATCTTCACCATGCGCAGCTCTTTTAGCCTTAAATGTACCCATATTAAAAACACCATCTTCACCGAGTTCTTTTTTCCCAACTCTGGCCCGTTCTGGAACCTGTTTTGCGCCAGTGCCTTATCCACCAGGAGAACCACAGGATATCCTCGCCTTACCGCTCCTTATTGATGCATTCGTAGAAGGTGCATCGATGGATCCTTCCGGAGATAGAGCTTCCAGAAAACGGAAAGGAGAGCTGCACTTCCTCGCCAGTGTCTTTGCCAATATCAGCACAGTCAGTTTCTCTAGAATCAATTACATCTTGACACTAAAGCCATAATGACTAGTCTCCGGCTGGTCGCACGTTTTTCATCACTTCACGACCAACAGATCCTTTGAACCCCAATAGTACTAATGAGTATCCTCTCGCTAAAATAGTCGCGTTCACTGAACATCAAGACACAATACGACGTGGTGGTGTGGCCTCGACATTGAAGTAAGACATTTTCCCTGCTTTGACATTGAGTGTATCCAATGCCTCGATCACAGGAACTGCGTTTTTTCTTCACAAGCTCACCGAGCAATATTATCTCCTGACACTGAAACTGTTGTCGTTCCTCCGTCGACATTGTCTGCCCCGGGTATCGATGCACTGCCCTACATTTTGCTACCGCTAGCCGGCCCAGAGGAACTTGATCTAGAAGTACGATCGCAGTTGTAGACAGCCCAAACCTGCTGATGTTATGCCTTCCAGGACCAAGAAAAATTGCCATCTGCACTTCAGTTCCTTCCATCCACGAAGAAGCGAGATCCGGATCCTGTCTTGCGTTTGACGCATGTTGAAACACTACTGCTTCTATGCACCACGCGATGGGGCCGAGACTACCTCAGGGATCATGGAGTGTATGAGATTGTCAGAGGGGCACACATGGAAGAGACCGTCGACAAGGTCTGTTTCTGCTTACAATTCGTCCTTTGATCAAAGTTTCTCACAGAGTATTCAGGTATCTGAGCACATTGAGCGCCTCGTCCAGCTTTTGAAAGGCGACGAAAGCGTAGAAACGGTCGATGGGTGTGATGTGGTACGTGTTGGAGACCAAGATGATGATGATGACGGCGACGACGACGAAGATAACAGAATCGAAGAAGTATAAGTAGTCGTGAAAAAAAATCTGATTGGGTTTTTGTGACAATTAGATATTATGTGCGCGAGCTTTTTTTAGGCAGGACTGCTCTTTTCTGTCATGCCAGAAGTACTCACTGGACGTTGTCTTACTGGGTACTACGGCTCGGCAACAAGAGTCCACTGCAATCGGCGATGTGACCGCCGATGAGGCGAATTTCACATTCGTGCATAGTTCGGATCCAGTCATGGTACGTCTCTTGTCAACGGAGCCTGGAATCCGGCGGCAGCCGCTGGCTCCTTAGCACATAACCAACAAAACCCTTTATCCAGCCATACCAACTTCTAGGTCCTTTTATTTTCGGTGCATTCTTTGTGATGCACGCAAAGAGTTGAGTAGGCGTGTGCTTCTTACTAGGGGTGAGGCAAATGACGCACAAGAACGTTGGGCATGGTTTGTGATTGGTTGTCAACAGTGAGTGCTAATTTAAATTTGTAATATGTGATATACACACCCGTCACGCATAGTTCCGAACGCTGGTCTGGGATACCGCCTTCCGCAAGCCGATGTTGAACGTTAAGGCCCAGGGTTTGACACGCCTTTCTTTTGAACCCCAGCATGCATCCTTGTTAACGCCATGCTTCGACTAGACTAATTAGTCTATAACAGTTAGCAAAATACAAAGAGCATCTCGCAATTATGCAAGGTCCTTCTACCTTGAATGAATCCATGACAAAGGATGCGGTATGCAAATCATGTATTTTTCTGAACTTAGTACTTATCCTTCAGCCAACCCAATTGTATCAGCTGGGAGACAAGCACGTCAATATCGTACGTATGGTGCCAGACCCTCACTCACACAAGGGTCACGGCCCTAGTTGTGTAATTAACACGGCTTCTCTGCCGGTAAGTTTTACATATTCATATTCATTTACTGAAACATTCTTTATCCTTTCTTAATGAAAGTGGCAGTGGATAAGTACGTAAATTTTGCGGCTGCTCAGGTTTATTTACCAAGAATACTTAATTTAAATCATTGCAAGCCGTACTTCTCGTACTCACACGCGATTTCTTTGTTTCAGATTTCCTTTTTCCTCACACAGGATTCAGCATCCAGAGAACGCCCAACTGTAATTCGCATTGCCTCCTCGGCAATCACCTGGTGGTATCTAGATACCCGGCTTGAATCGTGCTTGTGAGTTGTGATCTCACATCGCCTTGACCTTATAGCGTTAATCGATTTTTTTTGCTTCAGAGTGGAATCCTTTGAGACCGTAGACCCTATTTGGACATAATCTCGTCACGATCCCAATCCATTTGCGACTGCATATACGGGTCGATGACCGCTCATTCTCGTCGATCTCGTCGATGCTGTCGGGTGATTTTCTCACCGTCTTCACTGGCAGTAACGGTCTCCGTCGACCAGATCCGGAGGAGGTTTGAAATCGGGAGCTACATAATAACTCCACGAGGCAGTGCCATATCGTGCGGGGGGTATCGGGACTCTGGGGCTGCTCACGTATAGGACCCCAAAAGTTGAAAAGATAAACTTATTAATGGATGGGCTCCTTTCTACTCCCTCCTCTGTTGACACTGATACTGTATCTGAAAAGTATTGCTCCCTGAGCCAGTGCAAGTATTTGAAGAGTTTGAATCGAGGGAGATCGTGGGCTGTCCTTGACTGGATCAGAAGGCTGGCACTCGTACAATACTTCATTAATGATCTAATTATTCACCGAACAGATTATGCCACCGGACTCGACCGAATGTATGCACTGCGTTCCCTGCAAGCCGGTATGGAACATGCTCTTTGAGCAGGTTTCACATGCTGTTACTAAACCCTCAGTCCTGTTATTCCAGTCTGTCGTTGGTCCCTTTCACCACCATCCTCCTTCTGGATGCGGGCTTGCGGTTACCCGCATTTGGGGTCTGAGGGATGCCAGATGCATCCGAGAAAAGGGTGATGATCATCAATGGTCATCACGCACGAATTGGGCGTAGCCCTTGTGCTGAAACCCAATGGAAGCATCCTTGGACAACCCGCCTGATCCGTCGAGTCCTCAGGAGACTCGACAAACTCCGCGATGCCCCGCTCAACGGCGCGTCCTCTGGGACATCTGAACTTGTCCCTCGATATAATGCCTGTTATCGCGGCATCATCATCAAACGAAACAAATTGCTACGTGCACCTCTCGAGCGAAACAGACTCATAGGGAATAACTGCGCCGTCTAATACTGCGGATCCGACACCCTGGCCAGTCCAATGGACGATACCACCGCATTGCGAGAATAATGAAACACCGAGGAGTAGCCCGTTGATGGGAGTCACTGACTGTCATCGTGCACGCATCCCTGTCAGTAGCTGTTTAATGCTCGAAACCATCCTCAGGTCGCATGCATTAACGATCACTGTTCTGATTATGATATTTACTGGTTGCCGATATTTTCCGCTGCAGCTCCCCTGTGCATTTATCTCATATTAAATTTGCCAGCCCAGCCTTCTGCGCCCAGGCGGCAGCGAATATATCACGCTCGAGGTTTAACGCGTGGATAGCAATCATAGCGAAGGTATGTCACGACGGCGAATAGTGGAGCGAATAATCCTCGCTGACATGAGAGAAAACAGCCCGCGTATCTAAAAAAACTTTTGGTGCAACCCTGCATGATCATTATATGTCCAGCAAGCAAGCAGTGTTATCGCCCGCGAAGGTCGTTGACATATTAAGGACTTCCAGGCCAACGAGGTAATTTTGACCCAGCGCGTCAGTTTAGTGATGTCATGTGAGTATCGGCTGTACAATATTATGGCCACGTTTTCTTCATTTATGCACGAGGCACCCATGATAAGTAAGTACAGAATATTAATTCTTCTGTTCCCCACTAAGCACCACTGACGGCATGTTGCCGCCAGTTCGTGCACCCCACATTGACCGATTTCATAGTCCGCTCGGCATTTCGAGGACACAAAATACAAGCATAAAGCTCCAAAACCGCTGGATGCTGTGAGCGTGACTTTATCGATATATCACGGGCTGATAACTCTCTCATTCATTTCTTGTCAGATGGCATTCATTCGAGTTCATAGGGCATCAAGATTTGTGCCAGACAAAGTGTGATGCACGTAATGTAGGGACGTACGAGCTGGCGGTGCTAGTAGGCAATAGTACTTGTCAGAAAAAAACAGCATCAATCTGTTGTTGTCCTGACGGACAATATAATGATAAAACAAAATATTGGAATGAGAAAACTTGGAGAATCGCCTCAATAATTTTTTGTGCATGAAAGTAAGCTATCTGGATGTCTTACTGATAACTCTGATGAGCCACAACTGTACAAAGGGTCGCGGCCTTGATCGATGGTCGGTCAATTGATTCCTTGCAGTGCTGGAAGTCTCCCACAAAAATTGCAACTTTGTCATATCGTCCCTACTGTCTGGGAGGCAGTAGGAGGTGCCAGTGAAGCGCTACTGGTGATGTATTTCCGGTTTGTGATCACTGCTGGAATTCCAATGAGAGTCCAGCTAATAAAATACCTAAGATGCACAACTCGCAGTCAAGTGAAGCAGCGGAGCCCTGCCATCTGAAATTCATTTGTCTGTTGAAGAAGCACCGATAGGTGCACAACGTGGACCAAAAGCTGTGATGTCGAACGATAGATTCTTGGTTCCTTCGCTTCGACCGATTAACCTAACTAAACGCCGTGATGCGAATTACTAAGAGGTACGCTGAGAAATGAGATTGACGAATCTGTAACCTTATCACCATAACAGACACTGCAAAGCGGAGCCACACCAACCCTGACGCGTACTGAGGAGCCCCTCGAACCCGGAAAAAACTATTGTAATATCATTGAAAGGTCCAGCCGTTGATAAGAATAGCAATGAAGACGGGTGAGAAGCAGGCTGGACAGATTAGTGCATCACGGGTCCAACTTCACACTCTCCGTATATGATCACCTAAGTCGCGGTCTTGTGACCCATAAGAATCGTCATCATCACTTCCACCACTGGACGCAATAACAGAGTCCTCCATGGTGTTGTGAGATCCTGGGTCTTTGCTATTGCCCCCGCGGGATCGTTCCCCTCGTGCCCGTTTTTTCAGCTGAAATAAAACATGATAACAAGAATCGGAGGGTTTATGCTGACGTACAAGTTTAGCATACACGAGGCCACATGCGTTGCACAAGGTTCGAGGGCCTAAACCAATATAAGCTCGAAGCATGTGGCTTACAAATGAAACCGCGCTAACCTAGGGGGCCACGCCTCCACTCAGGGGTCGAGGTTGCGTTGCAACCAAGGCAAGTTTGTCCTTCCTGAGCATGTTCCTCGGCCTTCTGATGACAGAAAAGGAAGCATCAACATTTTAGTATATTCCCCATGGCAGACGATTCACCTGCCGCTTTATAGCCGGAGTCTCCTTGTCGCTACCGCCAGTAGATGGCCTCGTGTCAGGGTTTGACTGCGCAACTGCTGATTGTAACATCTGTCTTCCGTAGTTCGCGGACTGGATCATACGTTCCATGGTTTCAGGCGGTGGGAGCCGCGCAGGAACTCCCGCGGACGCCAGGGATTTGGTACCCTCGAGTATCATACCGTAGGACTCTACCATCTGTTAACAGGTCAGATATTGACCGCAAAGGGATGACTGTAGGACGTACCTTCCCAAAATCTAAACTAGGATTGATAATTGGACTTGGAGCCAGGACTGGTGACTCCTTGTCCCGCCTCTTGCTCTTTTGAATAGGCGATGCATGAGCCGACCCAGGGGCAGGGGGATAGCGTTCCTCTGGGCGGCGATTCTCGACAAGTGGTGGATTGGATGGACCAGCGGCATACGATCGTGCCTCTGCATGGGTGGTCTGAGAGACTGGCTCCGGGCGGGCTGCATTTGGGGTATACGCCACGTCTGCCGTGATGGATGTAGGTTGAAAGGTCCCAAATTGAGGGGACCAGGTTTCAGGCTGCCATTGAGGCTGCGACTGAGGAAGAGAGTATGATGGAGCGGGCGCATAAGGCGCTTGTTGTGTATATGAAGACGATGCCGCAAAAGTTGTCTGGTGGTGTTGCGAATGAAACTGAGTGATGGGAGAACGTATCGGCCGGGGAGGAGCCTGAGGAGGTGGTGCCGACACGTAAGCTTGCGTAGGATATGTTTGATACTCATAAGAGGTTGTCGATCCTCCTTGAGGATTAGAATAAATATATCGTTGATGATCTGCGGACATTCCAAGAGTTGTTGGAAGGGAGGAGGAATCGCCGATGTTTTTAAAGGTGGGCACTTGCAGAAGAGAACGTGAAAGAGGTAATTCTTCGACGCTGTTGCGATTAAAGTGCGTAGTGCGTGTTAGGAGCCTCGAGGCTATATCCCCGAAATGAAAGATAGATCGTCAGAAGTCAATCAATGACAAGTTGGATGAATGCAGTGGGGTGAGCGAAATCGCGGTGCCGCGCCAAATAAACAAGAAGGAGCGGCAGAAAGATGTCATTTAGGACACAGAGTCGGACAATGATCATCGCGTGAAGCGATACATGGCTGTCCGCATTCGTTGCTCAATCACGGACAGGTCGAAAATGGCCTCACAAGTTTTGATCAGAAACGCACGTTTCGCCTGAAGTTTGTGGACAAAGCTTGTTCGTCAAGATGTGATGGATCTGGTTTACGTGAACAAACGTGATGATCAATCTCGCGAAAAAGTGCCGCGGCCGTGCTAACCTGTGTTAACACTGAGTAGTACTCACCGGTGAGCGGTGACCTTCAAGGCCAGGAAACTAAGTCCCAGAACGAGTGCGATATAAGAAGATAGCAAATGCTAAGCAGACAGTGGAAGTAAGAGAAAAAGTTGCATTTGAAACATACTCTCAGCTTCATGCTTTAAACGGTGACGCTTACACCGATCGGCAAGACTTCCATCAGGACGCCTCACTGCACGCGGCTGCCCCGTGGAAGCCGTCTTGTCACCGGCCTGCCAAATCACAGTCATGGTTCTCTCTAGGTAATCCATTGAAATTGCCTCATATTTGCCAACGCGACTACCAATAATTTCCAAATGTCCGTCCATTAGATAAAGATGCGGCTTGTGATAACATGTCAGTAAGTAATGCGATGCCTTCCACGACTAGCGATAGCGTATGCAAAATGAGACGGAAAGAGCGGAAGTGGATCAGTAAATACGCTATCCAGTTTGTATGAAATCCTGCCCTCTAGACCTGCCAATATCCGGGCCTTCTTTCCAATTAGACTCCTTTACGATGACGGGGGATTGCGCAGGAGATGGCTCATAATCGTTGTCGTAATCGTCTTCTTCATCAGATGATGCCAAATTTGCAGGTGTCTTGGAGGCGTTCAGTCCGCCTGCAGCACGCTCCTGCGCACGTCTTCTTCTACGAAGGATCTGTTTTCGGTTCTTCACCGCTTGACGGTGCTCTAGCCCCTCTCCATAGAAAAGGGAGTATTCGCAACGTGGGCAGATCCATTCATCTGCAGGATTGACTATTTGCGCAGTGGGAGTAACCGTGTTTGCCTTCTTGCGTCTGCGAGGCGGTATTTGTGCCGAGAGGAAGCGAAGTGGAAGTGGCCCAAGCATGTTCTGAGCATTGACATTCGCCTGGACCATATTAGCCTGCCCAGATGAAGGAAGCCTGGAAGGAACGTAATTTTTGCGGTGATGCGGATTTGATGCAATAGCAAGTGCATTTCGCTTTTTCTTTTTGCTTCCCTTGCCTTTTCCCCCTGGCATTTCCAGAAACTCCGCTGACTGATCTCCACTTTCAGCTGTGCCTTTAGGTGCCCGCTGCTGCGTTTTCTCTCCCCGCTTTGACTTAGCTCCTTTGCTTGCCGTAAGTGCTGCTTGTTTAGCATCAGTAGCTGCTTTGGCTACTTTAGCCGCTTGACGTGCGAGTTCATTTTCGAACCGATTTCTAAGTGCGAGCACCTCCTGTTTTGTCGCAACGAGGCGATCAGATGCTGAAATTAAACCAGTTCTGATCAGGTTCTGACATCACTTTGATAACTGGACTGCGACTCACTTGCACTGGAAAACGTGAACGCGAATTGAGCGCTTGGAAATGAAGACTTCTTCTGAGGGGGCAATGAGGCTGTACTTGTATGAGCTTTTGCCGCGCGAGCAAGACGCGGACCAGGTCGACGCGAGAGCCGTACTTTAGGCGGATTAGAACCAGATCTGATCATCGAACCCGCAAAGGGCAAATGTGTCGATAATGCTTGATCAAGGGCAAGTGTATCGCCAAGGGAAAGGGCTCCCAGGACGGCTTGCAAGCTGGCGCTTTCGATGCTTGAGCAGCTCCTTGTGCTGGAGACCTGCCAGCGTTGATGGAGTGATCTTACCCTTCCTGGGGGTGGGGGTCACCGATGGTGGCAGGGCAGAAAGGTCAAGGCCGTGAGTTAGCCCGACCATTCAATAGAGCCAAGTTGTCCAAAATCTCATCCTCTGCACCCAACTGTGGCTCTGCCTCCCGCCCTTGCGCCGCGCCTGACATGTTAGCTGGCACCTTCCTCTTCTTCGTATTCCCAGGCTGCTGCAGATGATCCGTATAGTCACCCTCACTCTGGTCCTCCTCCGACCTTCCCATCTTCCCGAGCTGATACGCCGCGCTCAGATCAAGGGTATCTCCATTATGGGTACCACCGAACACAGAGGCGTAGTGAGACTGCAGAGAGAAGGAGTCAGCATGAGCAAGGAGTTTTTCTGCGAGAGATTCTGCGCCGAGAATGTCGGCCATGGGATGGGTGACGTCTGCTGCTGGAATGGGCGCGTCTGAGGTACGTCTACGTTTGGGTAACGGTTTAAGCCTCCTCAACGGCTGAAATTCCGGCTCATCGGATGCGGGAGACGATCCTCGATACATTTTGTGGCAGAATTTCAATGAAAAAAGATAATTGGAGGAAGCTGGCAAACTGTAGCGTCTAAAGCAAAAAGAGCGAAGGAGGGAACGTCTCAAATACGTACGGCTTCCGGCGCTGGCCCTTGTGATGACGTGGAGACCAACTGCTACAGGTCGGTGGCCACGACAGCCGATCCATTTTCGCACCCTCCGGAGTCTCACCAGAGCTTGAGAGTAAAACAGCCTGCAATGGGAAGGCGTCTAGGAATTGATAAAATAAAACAGGAAAGACTACGGTACAGGATATGCGATGCTCTAACAGTAAAAATTGTCTCGTGAGGATATCAAATAATGTCCGACCGCGCGTCGCAATGCCAATAAATGAGTGGATATCGCGAAACGACGACTGACAAATGATGTATGCTGCTCATGTCTACGGCCCGCCGTTTAACGTCTATCTATAATGCGGAGAGGGAGGTGGCGCTTTGGGGGAAAGAATTAGGAGTAGACATACCGCACCGAGACAATAGAAACACAGACGACGAATGTAAGATAGGCCGTATAGTCTTCATGATGAGCAGGAGCAACGAGACAAACCAGGTTGAAAGAGCAGCGCAAGGAGTCCGTGCGTGAGAGAGGAAAAGAGAGCGAAACACACAGCGAGATGGATGTTTGAGTGCATAGGGCAAGGAGTTTGTTGTTACCAGGGACATTTTCATGAGTGTGAAATCGAGGCGAATTAAGGAAATCCGATGGAAGTTGCAGGCCGAGAAAAACTTGATACACTTGAGTGGAAGGCGAGTGGATTCCGAGCGTGGCGACAGTATATTTACCACCAGCCGGATCCACCACCGCTTGCTCCATTGTTATTATAACCTCCGCCGCCGCCGCCATATGAAGGGGCATTGCCGTAGCTCATGTTACCACGTCCGAAGCTTCCACCATAGTTGCTGGCGCCGCCATAGCCAGACTGTCTGTAATCGCGGTTGCCACCACGACCACGAGTTCCAGCACTGCCACTGCCACCTCCACTTCCACCTCCACCTCCACCTCGGCCACGACCGCCACGGAAACTTGATCCAAAGGTTGTCTCATGTACGACACTCTCCAACCACGAAGGAATCTCCTGGTTAGCCTCACGGAGAAGTTCGAGAAGATCGCGGACAATGTTTTTGTTTCCACGATTAAAGAATGCAGTGGAGACACCGGTGTTTCCGGCACGACCAGTACGACCAATGCGGTGGACGTAGTCATCAATGTCCGAAGGTAGGTCGTAATTGATCACATGGGTGACGTTAGGAATATCAAGACCACGGGCTGCGACAGCAGTAGCTACTAAAATTGGAGTACGTCCGGTGCGGAAGGTCTGCAAAGCCATCTCACGCTCACGCTGGGAGCGATCACCATGAATGGACGTGGCAGGGAGGCGATTTGACATGAGGAAATCAGACAACATATCGGCCATGCGCTTGGTCTCTACGAAGACAAGGGTCAACCCGCCAGGAGGATCAGACGCGAGGAGATCAAGCAAGACAGAACGCTTGTCATTGTCCTCCACGTACTCGATCTTTTGGGTGATGTTCTCAGAGGTTGAACCGACACGGCCGACAGAAAGGAATATGTAGTCCTTCAGGAAGTCTCGTGCGAGCATTTGGATATCACGTGGGAATGTGGCACTAAACATAAGTGTCTGGCGATCTTCTACGCCAGGCATGTCCTCGCCTTGAACGATCCTACGAATCTGAGGCTCGAAACCCATGTCAAGCATGCGATCAGCCTCATCAAGGACAAGGTAGCGAATGTTTGCTAAACTGATCCGACCACGCTCAATGAGGTCGACAAGCCGTCCAGGAGTAGCACTAAGAAGATCACAGCCACGCTCGATCAGACGCAGCTGCTGATTAATGTCGGCACCACCATACACCACTGCCGGGCGAACCCATGAGCGGTATGCAAATTTGCGTGCTTCTTCGTGAATTTGACTGACAAGCTCGCGGGTGGGAGCAAGAATAAGGGCAGTAGGGTAGGCTTTACGTGAGCGTGAGTACCCCATTGATGGGGTCTCAGGTGGTGGGGCACGAGGTCCAGAAGCGAAAGAGGCGGAAAAAATAGGAAATAAGAAGCCTCCTGTCTTGCCTGAACCAGTCTAGTAGAGTGCGACGTCAGCGGCTACAAATTACCCAAAGAAAAATACACACCTGAGCACAGGCCATTAAATCTCTGTTACCAGCGACAATAGGAATGGAGTACTTTTGAACGGGAGTCGGAGTGGTGTAACGAGCGAATGCGATGTTCTCCAAGAGAACAGGGTCTAGTGGGGGGTTCGTGAAAGCTGTAACGGGGTCTGGGACTCCAGCGCCTGTAGCCTCGACAGGAATATCATCATACTTCTCGAAGTTGATGCCAGTGTGTTGCTTGGATGGATCGGTCGGATCTCCGAAAAGCTCTTTCTCCATGCGAGGATTGCGAGGGCCGACGACATGAACACCATTGCGCCAGGCACCGAATCCGGCAGAATCACGCTGTTGGCTATCTCCACGGGGTTCTCTGGCAGTCCATCCGTTGCTAGTTGGGCGACCTGCCCAATCACTTGCACTGCTACCTCCACGGGTAGGACTGCTGAATGCAAGAGCGACATCTTTGCTACCTTTGTCGGGAGGACCACCTCGGAGGGGTTCAAATCCACGGCGAGGAGAAGCTTGGGGCTCGTTCCAGCCGGTCCTGAGTACGAGCGCTTGATTGACACAGGATGGAAAATCAAAAGAAAATTACATACCCGTTTGGCTGTTGCGGGGGTGGTGTAGCGCGCTGCGCATTTCTCATGTGAGGTGGAACGTATGCAGATTTCGTTCCATTTATGCCGAGAGAAGCTGAATTAAAGATATTAGTTTGGTGAGAAGGGGACAAAGATAATATAAATGAGCGCGTACCAAACTGAGTCTCTAGACTTTCGTTGCCGTTTACAATTCCATTGGTCATATTAAGTCGAAATGATGAACTTGACCGTTCTTTTTTCTGTCGTTGAATGTTCTACAGAAGGACCGATGTTGGTGGATGAAGAAAGAAAGCTGAGCAACCACAATTTTGATAAAAAATTCCGGAGCTCCCAGATGCTGACTAATGAAACACCATGAATGGTTAATTATTCTCATGCACTGCTACTCAGTACTCAGTACTCACCAAGTCAACGTAGCTCTATAGATTGTTACTTCCGCCGAGCACAAAACTAAAATGTCTCAACAACCTTCAGCAGGTCAACACTCGCATGCTCACCCACACCCTCATCCTCCGCAACCTGCTCAACAGGTCATGCCTGCTCCACAACCGGACCCAAACATGCAGGCTCGCATCGATGCCGATTTTAAGCCTGTAGACTTAGCAGTAGGAGGTCCGAGTACTGCATTCGCTTTCTGCAACACGCACAAGCTAGAAAAGTGCAAGCAGTGCAACGTAGACTTTACTGCTCTCAATCGTGTCTCGAAGATTCTTGTTACGAACCCTACCTTGCGCTGTCCACCTCCTCCAAGCGTTGTGCAGCAAAAACTCTCGCAGGCAGTGGCAAATATGAAGGACGAGGGCAATGTATGTCTTGCGAGTTTATTTGTTTATATTCGGTTGACTGTTTTCACAGAACCTATACAAACTCAAGAAGACTAGGGAAGCGCTCTCAAAGTACAATATGGCAGCGAGCATAGCCGTGCAGAGACCAGCTTGGGAAAGTGCCGCAATACTACGAGAAGAGCTCTCGACTGTAGTATCCAACCGCTCAGCGGCTCTTCTTGACCTCGGTGACTACCTCGGCGCACTTGTTGACGCCGAGACCGTCATTTCCGTCCGGAGACAATGGCCGAAAGGTCATTTCAGAAAAGCAAAAGCACTCGTCGCGCTGGGCCGCATAGAAGAGGCTAAAGATGCCATCTCTCTCGGCCTTCAGTTTGAGCCCAATAACACTGTAAGCCACTCCCATGCCCAGGTTGACATGTGTCTCACATCTTGCTTCAGGAGCTCAGCGGATACATGCTCGAGTTAGACAAGCAATTGACATCGCGTAACCAGCAAAATACAGAAGAAAAGTCGGTGCCTGTCACCTCCTCGTAGTTTACATACAGACTGTATCCATATACCCGTGGATCATTATTACCCATACATGAAAGCTCGATGCATAAATTACAGTTAGGCCATATTCCTCCTTCGGATATTATCTTTCAGTGGCTCTAGAAGTCGCTCAGTCTCTATACACTCTTCCGGGAGCTTGAACACCCGCAGAACGATGTCATGCCTCATCATTAATTTCGCTTTGTTTACGCGGTTCTGCAGCTCGAGACGTTTCCTCTCCGCCTCCGTCATAGGCAACGTAGTCTGACCCGTCGCCCGTCTGAAGTTGCGCAAAGACAAAGAGCTGGAACTCGACCCAGCCGAGCTTATGGAATCTACAGACATCCTTGGTTTGGTTTTGGAATCTGCATTTGCGGGATTATCAAATGAGGAAAATGATTGGGGGGGCAAGGTAAATTTGGAGGTGGGTCTCTTCTTCACGGACGGTCCCGGTTTTGCGATGTATGGCCCCGACTCTTTCAAAGTGTCCGTGTCAGACATCGAACGAAGGGGGTGTGGACGAGTAGCAAAGGTTTGTGCTGGCAAGCTCGTCTTCTTGGCTGGCCCAGAAGCCTGCAAGGACATGAGACTCGCCAAACTACCTGTAGCATCTGCAAGCCCTGTGTCGTGTACATCTCGGATGAACACAGCCAGAATCTGCTGCGGACGCGCCATGGCAATAGATGCATACAGCTCCAGATCTTGCTCGCCTGAATCCCCAATCAGGATGAACTTCGAGTCAGGAAAACCATCAAGGACTTCAACCACGTTTGCACGTTTGCGGGTGGCAGGATCAGAAAGAAGGGCATTGAAGAAGGATCTACCATTATAAGATTTAAGGGCAATAGATCCCCGCGGGAGGTCGGATATCTGCAAAAATTCTTTGATGACTGGGAGCAGTTCAAATGGAGAATTAGACTACGGGAATTATAAACATGAGTCTACTATAAAATGTGGCATGGCACTCACGACGTAATGGAAGGAAACGCCTCGTTCCCACATTGACTGGTACCATGTCCCCATCTCTGGAATAGTCGTCTCCTCGAGGTCCTTGACAAAAACATTGCGGAAGACGGCACGAGCGCCGCTCGTGATATTTGAGAGCTTGACTGTATCGTCTATGTCTGTTATTACACGGATAGGTGAAGATGTGATTGGAACGACCACCGAAATGTTCCTTGGAACGTCTGTGTGGAACAGGTATGCGGGTGTGGGCGCAGGCTCGGGTAACAGCTTTGCAGAAATGAGTAGCTCATGTTTTATGTCCGATCTCTCGGATGGTCTGTGCTGTGCTATAGGATGCCTGCATAATTCTTGCCAGGGGATCTTAAAGGGGTTTGCAAAGGCGCCGTCTGGTCCAGTGACTAGGTGTTCAGTGTACAGCGGACCATCCTCGAGAGCGTCACGTTTCGAATCGATATCGCCTGAGACAGTAGGTACGGCAAAAATGGATATTTGGATTGTGCGGGATGATAACACGGATGACCAAAATGGTCGCAAACGCGCCTCGAGGTTTGTGTGCTGTTTCTGCAGTGGAGCGTTCACAAACGGCGCTGATGTTTCACAACTTGGACGTGAAGGTGTCGGTTGAGGCTCAGACTCGGATTCATAGGTTTCTTCGGTAAGTTGAGCCTTTTGTAGGTCCCTCATGTGTTCGAATTCTTTGTCTAGTTCCATCTCGAAGTCATCTGCTATGTCGCCTGGACGGGGAGGTAGCCTGATGCCATCGATTTCTATCATAGATGATCCTTTGAGGGGCGACTGTTGACCCGGTAGTTTGGGTAGGGATGCATAACCTGATCACGACCTCAGTTTAACGATACAACATAATTTCGAATGAGCGCACCTCTAGCCAGTCTTAGAAACGCACGCTGAGAACGGGTAAGACACTCTGGCGGCCTGCGTGTCGTCGCATAACCCGAGACATAAACAAGTAAGTCAAATGCATCTACAAAAAGTAAGCCTTTGAGCCGAGTGAAGCATGCACAGCAAGAGAGTTGCTTACTTTCATCCTCATGTTCACTCGCAGGACACAGAGATGCCCAGCCAGGAAATAGAGTCACTTCGTCCGTGGTTGTTACATCTGGTCCACTCCGTCTGATTTTTTGACCCGCCCACTGACTCCAACTCAGCGTCGTGGTCCGCCCATCAACATAACCACTCTCTCCTGGTCTGGGCGCTCGACGAGCGGATATCACTGTGCGAAGGTTCTGTTTGGAAATGTAGGATTTCAGGCCGGTCAGATACGACGATGGGCGAGGGTTGCTTGCAGACATTGGTCTCTTCAAGAAAGCCGTCTCCATGCGGTTACATCAAGTTGCTAAAACTGAAATCACCATTTTGTTGGCACGGGGCTTGAGTTCAGGCGCCTAACGTGTAGGCTGCCAGTTGGCGTGCAGGCACGCGCGGCGCGTGACTCAGTCATTGACTTCATTTGGGATTTATTTACCGGACTGGTATCTGCTTGAATGCGAACCGTCTTCTCTCTACACAGACAACTTTTATTGGTTAATAATTTGGCGCAACGAACACAATCATACCACAGGACACGATACATGGATATCACACAAGAGCTGAAACAGGCGGACAAGAGTAGAAAGAAGGGTCCATCTCCAAAGCTTAGGGGACACCCTCGCGATGATCCACGGGTACGTGTATCCAAGAGCCTGAGTTGGCTGCTACGACATGGGGCAAAAAATGCAGGATTAGACATGAGAGATGACGGATATGCTAAAGTCTCGGATGTGGTGAGTTGTATGAGTCCTGTTGACGTTTTGTAGCATTAATCATTTCAGATAGCTCTCGAATCCTATGTTCAGAGACGTCAATTTCTCTCAGCTACAAGAGATCGTTGACAAAGACCAAAAGCAACGATTTCACCTTCTAGCAGAGCCTCGGTCATCTGACTCATCGTCTGACATGTGGTGGATTAGAGCAAATCAGGGGCATTCCTTGCAGGTGAATAACTTATAGTCAAACGAATGTTTGGTTTAAATATCTTGATCGCAGACTGTCACGCTAGACATGCAACCTATTACGTCTGCATTAGATGTACCAATGGCTGTCCACGGCACGACACTTAGCGCCTGGGAGCTCATAGGTAAATTTACGTCTATGAGATGGTTTGTCCTTCTAACACATATCTGTCAGCGGCGCAAGGCCTATCCAAAATGAAGCGAAATCACATTCACCTTGCGCAAGGCATTCCGGGAGATAATGTCATGAGCGGTAGGTGAAACCTCATCTGCTTGCGTTATCCGATTCACGTTCTGTAATAGGGATGCGCAACTCCTCGCAAATCTTGATTTTCGTTGATCTGCAGAAAGCCCTTGATTCTGGTGTTCTGTTCTACTTGTCCGCCAATGGCGTCGTCCTGACAGAGGGAAACGAAGGGTTCCTGTCACCAACATATTTCCAGCGGGTGGAGTTTGCCAAGGGGCGCTTGCCGGTACCAGGATGGGAAGGTGCAGGACCAGTTGTACCGCGGGCATCACTAACTCAGCCCTCACTACCCGTCCAAGATCTTCAAACTGCACAGTCATATTCAAGCACAAGCGAATCTATATAGTCTACTTTCAAAGCGCTGGCACGCTTTGCTCTAGTATTTTTCGATACCAATGGTATCTCGTCATCGCTCCTCCGCGATGTCTAGTCACTTCTCCATATTGTCTTGCAACTCTTCTTCCTCCAGAATTTTTAGTGACACCTTGCTTCGAGCACGAATCCTAGACCCATAAAAGAAAAGTACCTGGCCCTCATTTAATAACGACCTGACAGGTAGCTAGTTCTGTCTTACCCATGGTATGGGCACCAGCGCCGCACCTATGCATCCGAACAGGGTCAGACCCCATTTATACGTCAAGCGAGCAAACATTTGTGTCGTGAAAAGAGGAAAGATCGATGCGGCCAAATTTCCTAGCGATTCATAGCGTTAAAAGCATTCGAGAGTTGTGGAAGAGGCGAACTCACGACACATGCTCTGACCTGCGATGGCTGACGACGCGTATGTTCCATAGCTATGAGATTGATAAGTTTCATTCAATCGCGCAGGTCAAAATATTTTCACCAATCTGCGAGATACAGAAAGACCACCATGTAAATCACAAATCCGCCGGACATGAATATCTTGAGAAATGTCAGTCTCGCATCTGTGAAGGAGATGCGTGGGACAAACAGTGAGACCGATTGCTGGCACTATCCAATGTACTTCCGGTCTTGCTGTCCAAGCGTAGATGAATATCCCAATCGGTATGAGGATTGCTGCAACACAAGGGAGATAAAGACGCGCTTCCTGACGTTTCCGGGGATAATGTTTCCTAATTTGAACAGGTCCGTGATCCGTAGATGTGTAATGTAGCCAGCACATGCTTACTGGTATAACTTTTCCTGATAGATGTTGGCAAAGTATCCAATGAAGCTTCCAAATCTAAGCCGGACAATGGTAAATCATCATCACGAGTTCTAGATCCGGTCGACTCACACGAGGGTGCTGAAAACAAATCCTGTGTTCTGCACGTCAAATCCGTAGATCGTCTGGAACTCAGTGGAGACAGACCTATACATGGGTTAGATGGTAAGCACAACAACATAGAACGGCGTACTCGACAAGGGCATAGACAACGCCCCACGTAAAGCCAATCCACAACTGCGTGAAAGAAATGTTCCTCTTTAGCTCTGTCTATAACAAGCAGCCGCAGATCCTACGCTGAAACTCTGGACGACAGGCTCCGTCAGCAAGAGATCTGAAAAGAGAAAAATGTCAGCTGATCCGTGTAGATCATCGCTGAAATTGCCTGACATATTGGTCGTGTGCACGAAATCTTGATCAAAGTAATCAAGCTTTGTTTTTCAATTTCTGCTTTCGCTTGATATCTATCATCCCCTGTCTCTTTTCGCTTCTTCCTTGCCAGGCGAGTTAAAACTATGGTAGCGCGCGTTTCTTCCATGAGCAACACAACAAGAATGAAATAAGCTCCTATAAAGCTGTAGGAAACTTTAGTCAATGCAATATGCGTGACGTGTTTCAAGGGACTAACATAGCATGAATCCACTGAATCCACCTCCATCCAAGGCGAGGACTTGCCTCTATTACACCGGCAATTAAGGGCCCAAGACCCGTTCCAGCCACAGCAACAAGAGCGAAAAACGCCATAGGTCGTCCACGCCTGTGAAGATAGCTGTAGCGATCAAACAAGTAAAAATCTCAAATTGCTCAACTCATGTGGCTTCCATACGTCGGCGACCGAACCACCCACCAAGGTTGCACCTGTCGAGCCGAATGCGCCCCCGAGAAGACGTCCAAGTATGACCGTCTGTATGTTTGGTGAGCTGCAATAGTCTATGAATCAGCGTCACGTCCGTGAAACATGAATGAACTTACAGGGCAATCATAATTTCCGTAAGCAGGAATCCAAATGACGAGACGATATATATATTTAGGCGACCGAATTCTTCCGTGAAGGACGAAGTGATGAGAGGAACCGTGCCAAATCCGATTGACCACATGCTCAATCCGATGGTGGCCTGAAACTGAGTGCAGTTCAGGTCCTGCATCATCGACTGGTAGCCCATAGAAAAAGAGGCCGCCGCTGCAGCTAGAGGCACAAGATTCTGTCAATTCTCTGATCGCTCCATGATGTAGATTAGATTACCGACTATACCAGTGAAAGCACACGCCACCAATGTGATCGTCCACTTTTTTTTGTATGAGAAGTTCATGGGATCTCGTGTGTCATTATCTTCGAAGGTGACCTGTTACTCATTAACGATTTGAAGATTGATTGAGGCTGAAGAAGGAAAATTGAAAGAGTACTTGCAAGAAATTCATCGTTGTCCTCGGACATACGGGTCATCGACGAAGGAGAGCTAATGATGCCATATTTCTCTGATGCTTGTACGGTCGTCATGAGCTTGTGTGCAATGAGGGTACGGGTAGGTATCCGACTGTATTTTCCAGCTATTTAAAAAGTCCAGGTGATAGCGGCACGAGTTCTCTCATGACTAGGAAAAGTCACGAGCCAACACTGACACAGAGATAAGCCATTGCCAATTGGTCGACGCCTTGTCGGAGTGCATAGTTAGCTCAGCTTGGAACTAATCTCGAGTTATCGTAGCCCCAGAAAGCATGACCCTGTGTGTGAACGTTGATAAATGGGGGTCATCGGACAAAATTTAAAACGACAATTCAAGGCATTCCTATACGTTTCCTGAGTGCCATGCAGATAGTGAAGACAGCGTTCTGATGGCTATCAGGGACGCAAATACCGGCACGTTCGTCCGAAAGGCAACATCTTTGACTTTTTCGGATCAGTAGCCAGGAAAACGCTTGATTCGGCAAATGGCAAATAGATGTGCCCGTGATGGTCAGGCAATAAGGCTCAGCTCGTGGCTATATGAGCCTGCGAACGAAAGGCTATCATGAACGTTGGGGTGAATGCGAAGAGACAAACACTTTGGATGCATCCCACATGCTACTCACCTCGATTATCAGGCAAGCTGGCGTGCGCCAACAGTTCCGAGTGATGATGGAATGGAGGGAGTTAAACGTCACGTGCACAGAGCCCTCGGTGTACATGACAGTTGGTGGCAACCGATCAATTTGGGAAATTTAGAGTTTGACGGAGATGGTCAGCTGCAGGATCCAGGCCGCCGTGACAGCGCTCAACAAGTCAATTGAAGAGGACGTAAAACTAAGACTCGTTTGCCAACGTCGTACAAGAGAACGAATATTCTCAAAGACCGTGCCACGAATCCATTAGTAATATGTCCGTGTAGTAACAAGGGCCCAGCCAAGCCACAACGCTCTCAGCAGATCCGACCCGGGACGGCACTATTCGGAGAACGTTTGCTCTGCAATCATATCTACTCCAATGCAACTGGCCATGATTAATTAAATGCAATTATTATCTGGAGGCTGAATCGAACAACCCTCGCGATCTTCCGACTGCTCCTTGTTACTCGGATTGCGACCCGTGATAATACTAGTACCCTCCTCTATGTCACCGTTGTAACGCATGTCAGCTCCCATTGATTGCGGTGTGTATGGAACACGCAATCTAACAGAACCCTGCAGGACCTTGGTTATCAGCGAAACCTATTCGGGCCAGAGCTTTGTTCATCTGTCATCTGCTCTCCTGCTAATAGGCCGCAGCACTTATCACGAACAGATTGGCAGCAGCCCAATTCATCAACCTCAATTTCCACAATATCCCGTGGTACAGAATTCCGTAAGAATATCAACGCCTGACTTCAATCATCGGCCCCCAGCTGCCAAGCATAATGAATAACCGGAACCCCTGAAGCTGATTATGTACACTCAGAGTTGGCCGTTCGAAGTGCACTTGCTGTTTATGACCCCTTCTAAAATT